TGAGGACGATGGTTTTTATGAATTATTGTTATGAAAAAGATATTTGTTCAGTAAAATAGTAAAGATTTGCCCCGGGGTAGTTCAAGTATTTTACCCCGGGTCAAGAGGTGAAAAAATCGCTAAAATACCCCGGGGTCAGGGGGCCCCGGTGTTGACACTAGTAATAACTTGACAAGTAAAATAGTTACCCATTTTCTATTTTTAATTTCGGTGCCTAAAACTTACTTTTCAATTACTATGGTTAAAATGAAATGTGTTACCGCACTAATCGAGTATTATGCACGCACTAATCGAATATTGGTTATAAAAGAATTTAAGCGCACTAAACGAAAATGCATTAATCGAGGGATCCCTGTATAGCCTAACTGACCTTGTTACAAAATATAGAATAAAATCTGGTCTTTTTATTGGTTTTAAGCATGACATTCAAGTTAAAGCTGTCCTTAGTAACACAGCTTCTACTTTGCAAGTGAGTATGGTTTATCTTGAACTGATGAAGTTTTACAATGGTTTCCTCTGGGACAAGTTCTTAGAATGCAATCAAATTACTGGTAAACATCCTATATATGTTGTACTTTGAACATCTGGAAAACACATACACAGTTTTTTCTTCTATACCAGCTCTTAAAGTTGAGATTTGTAACCATGAGTGCATTACATGACAACAAAAGTGCAGTTTTAATTATTGTTTCAGAGGTTTTTTTTGAAATAAAGGATTAAAAACCTAGGTGTTATAAACCTTTGAATTATAACATACTTGGTAATAATAATTTCATTAAAATACATGGATAGTAAAGTGGTTTAATTAAATTTTGAATGTAATGCAGTAACATGCTCAGAAATGAATTTAGAAATGGTGCCGGTTGGTATAGGGATAAGTTGCAATGCAACAATATAAACACACCTAAATCATCCTTCTTGGAACTAGTTAAGAACTTGGCAATTTTAAATAAAAATGATTAATTATGATATTTCTCTGCAGTATAACAGAGTAATTGAAATACCAAATCTGATACTTTTATTTGGGATTTTAATTTAACACTGCATCAATACTGGGATCAAGCCTACTTTTGTTTTCCTGGAATAAATAGAGGTCATAGCAAGTTAGTGGCTGTTGTTTATCCATTATTCTAATATAATTTACTTCACCTTGATGGTAATCTTCTCAATGAAGTTTCTCTTCCAGAGTGAATTTCAGTGCTAAATTTGATAATTAAAGTGTTCGTGGATTTGCTTTGCTGTGTGGTCGTAGAATTAGAAATCATAAACTGTCTCCAAAAGCTTGGTTAACAATATATAATTTAATTTAGTAACATCATTGTTATGATGCTTTTCATTTTGTAAGAACAAGTATATAAAGAAGCTTCAAAGTGGTAAAAGAAAATTGATTGTATCTGTATGCACGAACAAGTACTACAGTATTTGGGTGTAACTGTATGAACAAACAAATACTAGTGACAATTTGTGCCAATCACTATACCTGTATGTACAAACAAATACTAGGGACAGTTTGTGTCTTTGACTATTCCTGTATGCACAAACAAATACTAGTGACAGTTTGTGTCTTTGACTATTCCTGTATGCACAAACAGATACTAGTGACAGTTTGTGTTGGTGGCTGTTTCTGTGTGCACAAACAAATATTAGTGATAGTTTGTGATGACAGTGACTGTATAGGTGTGTTTATAAAGGAGCTGTAATGATGATTCTTGATGCTTGTGAACAAAAGATTTATTTTTCTAATATAGTTATTTAGCAAGTTACGTTTATTTTGTTAGCTTCTGGTGGTGAATTGATGTAATGAATCATAAGTCAGTCACCGAAACCTTTTAGAATAAAAATAATATTTTGTCCAAGGAATCAGCAGTTTTTAAAATGACTTTTGACTTTCTTTTGGCCACTTACCTTGAAATATTTTCTACTTGACCAGTATCAAGTCAAAACAGGTTCAACCATTCTAAAGTATTAAATAGAAAGATGTTAGAAGAAAATAATCAAAATTCAATAAGGAGAAAAAAAAATCAAAATAATCTGTGACCTAGTTTTAAAGATGAGTATTTATTGTTTCAGTATAATATCCTATTATAATAATAATTGTTAAATTAACTATTACTGAAAATTCATGGATAAGATATGAGAAAAAAACCTCAAAACTATTTTTACAGGAGCAAAGAACCCTTGGTCTACGTAAGTCTGGTCTAGGTGTTGTGCTAGATTCAGAACTACCACATCTTGTAGGAATTGACGATGACTTGTTGAGCACTGGAATAACTCTTTACCACCTTCAGGTAATACTCTTCTTACACTTAAGGAACACGGAAACTTAAGTTATCTTGTTAGCTATTCTCAACTTTTGATTTGTTTAGGGCTACAGAAAAAATTGTTATCTTGTTAGGAATACCTACTAAGATTTTTTATAAAGTCATTTAGAAGACAACAAAATCATTTAAATATTCCCTCTAATAAAGCTTGTTAAGGCTGTTTGGAAGATAATAGCAAAAATAATACAGTGCTCAAAGTAATATTTAACTGTTTTATTCAAGTGTTGATATTTACAAGGTTATAGCCTAAGTGAACAAATGAGGTACTTCAGAATTTCTCTTTATTACAATGGTTTTCTGTTACATCTCAAACAAAAACGATCATGTTGAGAACATAATTAAGCAGAAAAAGTTGTTTTATACTCGCATCTTACATAAGTATGAGAAAATTACTTACAAAGTTCTATAACTGATTATTGTTATCCTGCCATTAATTTTATCATAATTTGTATTGACGGAAACTGTGCCTCAACCACGTCTACACGTGAAACATATATATAAAAAATAACTTTCTTTGCATCTATTCATGACATCACAATTTTGTTTTGAGTTAATAGTGAATATAGATCAACATTCTGACAAAGATGAAATCCCAAAAATGAATGAAAATACATGTGCTAACTTCAGAAGATAGTCTTTTATTACAAGATTGCAATGCCCTTATAATTATTTTGAAAGTATCACTAGGTAAAAATTTGAAACTGTCATTTACTAACGTCATCTATCTAATCGATGACGAGGAACCCACTTTGAGACTAATAATGCTTAGAGACGGCTTGAATGGGTAATGAAGAAAAACTTGTACCTGATGATGACAAAAACATTGTTGAAACGTTGTACATTTGCTGTTATGTTAAACTTATATTAAAGTTTTTCTTCATTACCCATTCAAGCTGTCTCCAACCATTATTAGTCATCTATATTGTAGAGATCTGTGGCTTCTCTTTTCCCCCATTCTGTTTCATCTAGAGTTTAGATATCAGTATCTGCTGATTATCTTCTTGTCCTCTGATTTATCTAGATTGTAGAGATCAGTATCTGCTGATTATCTTCTTGTCCTCTGATTTATCTAGATTGTAGAGATCAGAATCTGCTGATTATCTTTTTATCCTCTGATTTATCTAGATTGTAGAGATCAGTATCTGCTGATTATCTGTTTGTCCTCTACAGATTGGTAGCTATGGATTGTTTTCTATAGTTTATTTAGCTGCCTGTGTATGTATGGGTTTAATTTTAACATTTATTTGTAGTCAGCAATTTCTGTATTTCCATGACCAGAAAATTAATAATGAAATATTTATTACACACAAACAAACAAACAAGTACTCTAATATTATCTTTTCAAATGAGTAGTGCAATACCTTTCTTATATTTTATAGGTTTTATCTTATGTTATTTTCACTTTTAGGAAGGAAAGACCCTTATTGGAACACAAAATGCACCAATAAAACAAGATATAGGTGAGTTTGTGGTCTGAAAATCTTCCTTTTTTTATAGAAAGTAAAAATTTTATTCAATGATAAACAATATGTATTAAAACCTGTATGTTATAGTTTTTTACATTCTTAAATATAGAATTTGATGAATTATCTAGTAGCATTCTATTTTTCAAAAGAAAAAGTAAAAAAATATGAGGGAATTTTATGGGCTCTACAAATTACAACAAATTAAAGAATAAACTAAATAAATAAGATATATATACACACACACACACACGCACAATATGGGTAATGGAAGTTACTTAATAATGAACTTACAGGATAACATAAAATATTAGTAAAAGGCTTAAAAGATACTGTGATGGTTTCTACAAATGAAATTACAATGTTGTTGAAACCAAGAATATCCAACCTTATTGCACGTATACTTGTGGTGCTTTATGAATACTTTGTGGCCAGTTTGTTGTATTTTGTGATACTTTGCAGTAATTAATAGGACCGAATTTCATATTTGTTAATTAATATGATTAATAATAAAATTGATGTAACAAAAATTTATGCAGTTACTCTTTGAAATTGGACTGTTCACCATATGATTGTTTGTTTTCATGTATATATATCAATCTTAATATTGATTCAGGTACAGCTGTTACTGAAGTTGGTCTTAAAAAAAATGTTTCACTCTCCGAATACTTATGAGTTACATATTCTTGCAAATAAAAGGCACCTTTTTACTTTGGTAATAAAAAAATCATTTTAATTTTAATGATTCATCAGTCAACATATATATGGATTGAAATAAACTATATAGGCATACTGATCCTGTGAGTGAGTAAATGGGTAGAATTAAATCACATAAACTTGATTTGTTCAACCAATGAATTTTTGAATGGCTATAAATAATGTAAACTTTACGGAGTTGACAAGTGAATTTATAGATGGTTATGAAATTAATCATGTAAACTGGATATTTTATTGGATGGATATAAATTATGTAAACAACTAGCCTTAGTAGCTTAGTCATAAATACAAAATACAAGTACTATTTCAATGGGTGATTTTAAGTAATGCATAAATTACTCTCTATAAAATCGTTATTGTTAAGACAAACCATAATTTTTTAGTCTTAAATTTTGTTTGGTTACATAGCTATTGAATAGAAAATCAGACCCCTCTTGTCACATCCTCTCTTTCAGAATTTGTTGATAGTTCTCTCTTACGTTTCATTATATATTACCTATAACCAATAGAAAGTCAAGGTTTTCACCTATCAAATGACATATTGTGTAACATTATGTTCTGAATAGTTAGATGTCAATTTTACTCATACTACCAACGTCGTTCTCATGGGAAAGTTGACGACTAGCTTGGAAAAATTTGTAACTGCTCTTGTCACATAGTTAGAAAACTAGAAAAATTTTGAGAGGTAAGGGAATTTGTCTATTTTTTGTATGTTATTAGTCTATATTCTTTGGTGCATTATTTAATTAAATAAAAATTAAGTGCATTACTATCATTAGTATAAAAAATGAGGGTTAACTCTCTCTTTGAAAACGGACAGGAAGAAAAAAAAGAAGATTAGTTAAGTATTTTATTTCTTGTTTTTCATGTTTATTCTTTATGTATAATCATAAAAGTAACTCAAATGTAAAAATAAGGATCCTTTTGGGTTTGTTAAGATTAGATTAGGTAAAATGTATAATAATATTATAATAAAAATGTTTCACAAGGCACACACATGAACAGCTCATGGGTAATGTAATTTGTTAGTGTAACATGAGCTGCATATTCCCCGAGTGATTTACAACTTATAATGGCATGAATAGTAGTTAGGCACAGTTCAAAGGGCAATGAAACAATAAAATTTAATTATAAATAGATGTATACTGTTATGATCTTGGAGCTAAATAGGATACAGGAATGTAGTTTCATGTTACAATTTGAAGTCATTCTGGAAAGAAAAAAAGGTTAATTTAGGTTTATTTTTATTTTTTATTTTTTTTTGGTGGTTAACGAGGTTGGTCAAATTGACCAATCTCGTTTTGAGATAGGGTTGGGAAAATAACACAAACTATAAAGTTTTACTGAAAAAAAACGTTTTAAATGCATATAGCAAGTTTTGGGGATTACACAAAGGAAATTTGAGAATTTTTAGATGAGGATAATTAATATGAAAATTACTCAATATATTAATGGAAAAATCTTTATTTTAGTTTATTAAAAATACTTCAATTAAAAAATATGATTTTTTGTATGTGAAAGACATATAATATTAACTGAAAGACTGCCAGATTATACACGCTATATTGAATCTATAAATACTTTAAACAAGTACAAAGAGGTCACATGGTTGGTCAAATTGACCAAGCTCGTGTTGAGTGAGTTAATTGATGACACTTAGTAGTAGCTATTTTGCATGTTGGTTAGAAACAGTTTAATTTTCTTCCCCCCCAAAAGAAATTACTATTTAATTTTCCTTTGCTAACTCCATAATAACTCCAGACTCTCTTTAATTTACCAAAACATGTTATTTCTAATATACTAATAACTCCATACCTTCATTATTATGATAAAAGTAGTATATATGACTTGGTTCTGTACTGTGTAAAAAAACCTGTTGGATAGTCAACATTCTGAAAGAAAAAGGTTTACGATAAAATTTATATACTTAATTTAAAAACCTGATATTTTGTGTATGAAAAACTTTGTAATGTTTACCAATAGCTTGCAAAATTTTGTAATGATGTGCAAACATTATCAAAAATCATAGTATAATTACTCTATTGGTTACTTTCGTGGTTATGATCTGGGTGGATTCCACTCGACTCGTAATGAAAGGGTTAACTGTGTGAATTTTACTAGAAATATGATTTTGCAGTTTAGTGTATTGCACATTTAAAACACAATGTGTGGTATTATTTTATAGTACTGAATGGAGTGGAAGTTGAGAATCAACACTGTATTATCCAGCTAGAGAATGGCAAAGCTACCCTCATACCTTTAGAAAAAGCTCAATGTTTTGTCAATAACATTGCAATTGATTCCCCTACCAAACTATCACATGGTAAGTAGTACTCTAGCCTTCCATCAGCCACAAAGCTACAATTATACATAAGGAATGAAAGATTCTTGTAATAGTTGACTGAGGGTTGAAATTTTCCATTTGTATAGCACCAATTCCAACAGTCTACATTACTAAAGGTTGTAATTTTCCATTATTGCTCACATCAGTTCCATCCGTACATATTATTGAGATTTGTAATTTTCCACCTGCTTCATTCCCTCAAAAACTGTGTGATAATGGTTTTAATTTCCATCTGTTTTTCATCATATATAGATCAGTGTCTTCAGTACTCAAATTTTAATGTATTCATCTTCCAATTTAGACTCGGGTAATTAATCTGAGAGTTATTTTCCTGATTTCATGTGAAATATGTCTTTCCAAAGTGTAATAGTTCATATATGAAACACAGTTTTATAAGTTTGAGAATCAAAACTTTTTTTCTTTAGTAAAGTCATTCGTAAGACAGAGAAAGTTATGGATATTGTCACACAATTTTGTTTTGAACATTTTCAAACATCATTTCTATTTCCTGGTGGGCAGTAGAAATATAAACAGAATGTGTAGTATGAAAATGTGATGAAATATGAAACTAAAAAAATCTAATGATTCAAGCATAAACTAAGAGAATGAAAAATTAATGAAACTGCATTTTTTCAGCTCACTAATTTATATAATATTTTAGCAGTTGATTTGTAATTTTTATGTTGGTTTGTTTTTAAAAACTAAAACTTGGTTTTCTCTGTTTTGTAGAACTTTAAATATTATACAGGTAATTTCATTGGTATTTAAAATACTAATATTTTATCCTGTTACCTAGGTTGTGTAATTCTGCTTGGGTTGACGAACATGTTCCGTTTCAATGATCCTGCTGAGGTAGAAAGACTGCGAAAGGAAAAAGAAAAGGGAGTAAGCCGTTAAAGATATTTTTATTAAAATGTCAGTTTTTTCATTTTTTTGACATACTAAAACTGCTAAAAGTATTTAACCAACTGTGGATTTAAACTATACTTGGTTGGCTATAAGCTGCTGTCTATGAAACATACTGCTGAGATCAAAACTCATCAGATGTGTTTAGTACCCATTTAAACTGTCTTTTTTTGGCTGTAAATAGTTAGACATGAAGCATTTTGCTTAGATCAAACTAATTAGGCATGTTGGACCATGTAACAGTTATGTGACATTTAGTTCAGTTCAGCACTATTCACACCTTTTACATCATGTTACCTAATTAAACTGTACTTTGTTATTTGTGAGTTAACAGTTATGTGGCCTGTTGTTCTGTTCAGAACTATTTGCACCTGTTAGATCGTGTTACCTAATTAAACTAAAGTTAGTTGTAAATCTTTTTGTTAGGTTAAAGCTGATTAGGCTTGTTGGGCCAAGCTACTCAGACATTTTACAGAAATTATGGGTTACTCTAATACTGCATTTCAAACAGCTTACAGAAGTTATTAATTACTCTAATCTTGCAAGTAAGACATATTACAGAAACTATGGATTAATCTAGAAATTAATTTCAGACAATATTAAAGATAAGCAATAGATTTAACCATAAATGGCTCATATCAAAAAAATAATTACATGACTTTACTGCAGATAGTATCTTAAAGAAATGATATCCTACCATTACTTAACACACCATATCTAAAAGTTTTTGTATCAATTTATATTAATAATACTATTTGATATTTTAAAAAAATTCAAGTAATAAACAATGGCATATTTAAACTTTGGATCTGGCTCTGCATGGCCTATTGGTTAGGGAGTTTGACTCACAATCTGCAGATTGCAAGTTTAAATCCCATCACCAAACATGCTCACCCTTTCAGCTGTGGGAGCTTTATAATGTGACAGTCAATCCCATTATTCAATTAGAACAGCAGTTTGTGGTTTTGTCTAGCTGCCTTCCTTCTTATCTATAACTTCAAAATTAGGAACAGCTATGCAGATAGCCCTTTGCACAAAATTCAACAAATAAACTTGGCAGCAAAGAAAATGTTATTTTACCTGAACACACAAAGAAAAATTAAGTAAAAATTAGATGAATAAGAACATGTTAGGTAATAATGGCTTTCTGCCAAGATAAAATGAAAAGGGTGGAATATTTTATTATTAACTCGTTGTTTGTGAGACTGGCTTTAACTCTTTTGTTACATAATTACATTTTTGGCTGGTTTCCAAAAAATGAAATTAGGAATTTGATCTTTTCTATTTCTTTTTCAGTATCAAAAGAAGATGATATATCTTATATATCTGACACAACAATTCCCTGATGTACACATGAATGCTGAACAGAAAAAATGAATGACAAATGATGAACACTAACATATGCATTCATTGTACCACATCATTACAAAAACCTCTGTCTTATATTAGTATATCAGATGATAGATACTAGAATACTGAATATATGTGTGTAAGGTATCACATAATCAAACTGTAATAAATCAATAAAATTAACCTTAGATCACGGAGCTACTTACTGTGTGAGCTGATGCTGAGCATATATAAACACATCCACTAGTTGTGGTGTTGCTCACAAATGGCAGCACCATGGAGATGTGGTATGTCTTTCAAGGACTTGAGGGTATTCCTGCTTTTTGCAGTGGAAGGAAAGGTTTCTGTGATGCTGTGGGGTAAATCTGCTTGTCACATCATAACAGTTAAACACTTGTTTCTCTTTAGCTTTTTTTGTAATGTTGGATTGGATAAACAGTCTTTTTATCTATCAATCAAAGAGAAAAGATCAATTTTTAACAAGCTAAATTAATAGATGTTTTTTTGTGGTGGCATCAACCTGAAGCAGTAGATGTCTTTGTGATGGTATCAAACTGCAGCAATAGATGTATGTGTGGTGTCAAGATGAAGTAATAGATGTCAGTGTGGTAGTGTCATTCTGAAACAACAATGTCTGTGTGGTAGTGTCATTCTGAAACAACAATGTCTGTGTGGTAGTGTCATTCTGAAACAACAATGTCTGTGTGGCAGTATCAAGCCGGAACAATAATGTTGGTGTGGTAGTATCAAGCTGAAACAATAATGTCAGTTTGGTAGTATCAAGTTGAAACAATAATGTCAGTTTGGTAGTATCAAGCTGAAACAATAATGTCAGTTTGGTAGTATCAAGCTGAAACAGTAATGTCAGTTTGGTAGTATCAAGCTGAAACAGTAATGTCAGTTTGGTAGTATCAAGCTGAAACAGTAATGTCAGTTTGGTAGTATCAAGCTGAAACAGTAATGTCAGTTTGGTAGTATCAAGCTGAAACAACAATGTCTGTGTGGTAGTATCAAACTGTAGCAGTAGATGCCGGTATGGTGGTATCAAGTTGAAACAATAGATTTCTGTATGATGGTATCAAGCTGAAGCTGTTGATGTACATGTTGTGGTGTTAAGATAAAGCAGTATATGTTTGTGTGGTGGTGTCAAGCTGAAGTAGTAGATGTTTGTGTAATATTTGTAGATCAAATTGAAGTGGCAGAGTTGTGTGATATTATCGAACAATAAAAATAGATATGCTGTAGTGTCAGGCTGAAGTAGTAGATGTTTGTGTAATATTTGTAGATCAAATTGAAGTGGCAGAGTTGTGTGATATTATCGAACAATAAAAATAGATATGCTGTAGTGTCAGGCTGAAACACCTGATTGGTGTAATGACATCAAGTCAAATCAGTTGGTGTGTTTATTGCAATATCAAGATGTAATTGTATGCTTGTGGTGTAAAGCTGAAGGAGCAGGTGTGTATAATGATAAGTTGAAGCAGCAGGTATCAAGTCGAATCAGTAGGTATGTTTATAGCAATATCAAGCCGTTGCAGTACACTTTGTTGTCAAACTGAAGCAGCAGGTGTGTATAATGATAAGTTGAAGCAGCAGGTATCAAGTCGAATCAGTAGGTATGTTTATAGCAATATCAAGCCGTTGCAGTACACTTTGTTGTCAAACTGAAGCAGCAGGTGTGTGTAATGATAAGTTGAAGCAGCAGGTATCAAGTCAAATCATTTGATGTGTTTATAGCATCTTTAACCCTTTGACTGTGGCTGCTTTAAATGCTTGCAACATTTTTGCAAGTATACACTGTATAGAACACACTTGCATTCAACTATTGAAGGCAGACCATACCCTATATAGCAAATCATCAATCAATGGGTTAAGGTGTGTAGGAGTGTCTGGGGGAGGCAACAAATGTACATGTTTTAGTGTTTTAGGTTAATTCTTCACTTTTAACAGGGAAATTTGTTAAGCTTATATTGCTTATAATAACTTATGAATACAACTGATTTTATTTTTATTATTTCTTAACAAGATTAATATTTTATTTTGTGCATGATAGGCCACTTTAAATTTGCCACGGTTGTCATTATTGAGCCGTTCAACATCCGACTTGGCTAGATCTGTTGAAAACTTAAATTCTCCAAGGTAAGAATATTGCTTTTTTTAAAGAATGGAATGAGAAACACACATAGCTAACTCAAAATACCAGAGTGCATTAGCAGAATATTTCCTGAGTAAATGTACTACAGATTCTTAAGATGTTTGGTTTGTCTGGCCTTTATTTGACTAAACATGTTTTCCATACTCTTATGACCCTATAGCATTATCAGACCTTTACCTTAATAATAATTTACTCGATAAAGCCTTGTTATACCTTAAATATTAAAGTAATCATAAACTATTAATATGGAGCTCAGAAAATGCCTCACTTGAAATAAGATAATTAGTAAAAGAAATACCTATACACTATTCTAAGTGAAAAAGATAATCTTACAATATATCAATTTTTAGAGTGTATACTTTATTTTGTTATTTTTATACTTTTTCTAAAATATTAAAGTGTAATTTCTTTTCAGGCACATTGTGCCACTATATCAGGAGTGAAAAAGTGTATTGTTGTTTTAAACAGAACTAGCATAAAATACCCAAATTCCTTTGAGGGGGTTCAAGGATCCATCATACTGACAGAGGCTCAAATGTATTGATCAAGCTCTTCCATTATCCCTAATTGCTACCCATTATCCCTACCAGCTTGTGAGTGGAGTTATGAACACAGTTTCAAACATGAAACCCCAGGATCCTGAGGGGGGGGTCCATGAACACAAAATCCAATTCCATATTTGTATTCAGGTACCCTTACAACCTACTCCTAAACTTCACCATGCCTGGATGACTTTCTTAGTGTATTGGTAATGGTACCCCAAATAAGAAAGGTAGGGTTACACCATATAGTTTAGGATATACCCTGAGTCTGCCTGCAAAGTTTGGTCCTGGTAGCTCCATAACTGTGGGACAAGTTCATGGACAAACAAATTCACACAAAATGTGAATTAATAAATGATGAAGACACTTTTTGAAGTTAAGATTGCTTTTAAATTGTCAGTATTCTTACTCTGTTATCTCTGTTTGAAAGTGGTCTTTGCAAGTTGCCCTTAGATATCTTAGAAAAATGAAAAACCTTGAATTAACTGAGATATTTGCTTTGTTATAATTTTGTTCATGGAATTAGATACAATGTTCCAGTTTACTTGAGGAGATTGTGTTGTTTTTGTGAATATTACTGAAAAAAAAGTTCAAAATTGTTATTTTTTTTTAACCATAATAGTAGCTTAAACTTTCTTCTTTAATTTCATAAGAAGCTAGTATTAGTAATATGAGCATTTTCTGAGTTATGCTGCCAACAAGGTTTAACACACACTTGCTTTTGTGATTTCCATGCTAATACAAGTGTAGTGAATGTAGTAGAAAAAAAGTGATTCAATATTTTTATAATTTTGTTTTCATTATATAGGCTTGAAATAGAAAGCTTGAAGGCATTTCATGGAGAAGAATTGGAAATAAAAAGGTTTGTATAAAAAAAATAATCAGTATGAAACATTTTGTGCACTTCTTATAGTAAGTTAATTAATTATACCTTGTCTAACTGATTTGTAGGGTACTTACTGTTGCTTAGTTTCAGTTGATATTCACGCCCTCATACCAAATCTGACTACTCTTTTCTTGATTAATTGATAGGTAAAGCACAAAACTGTTAGTTTTATGGGCCAAGAATACATGCACTTAAACTTGTGAACCGTATCAAAATTTTATAATAATTTATGTTATTTGTGTGTCATATAAAAACCTTGCAGTCACGTCTCAGGTTTTTCAGTTTTCCACAGTTTTTTTTTGTTTTTAAATAATATTTTGACTTGGGTGAAAAAGAAATTGTTAATGCTTTCAGAGTTGGCATACAAGTCTTCTTATGAAAACACCCAAAATCATTACTGGTTTCACTATGTTCAACAAAGGTATCCAAAATATATGAAGTTTAAATTCACCAAAAATAATCAATTCAAATATTAACATCTAAAAGACCTTCTTCACTCCAGCAACTAATCTTTATTTCATCTAAAATCCTCCAAATCAGAAAAGTACTTAAACCCCTCTGCACAATGCAAAAGGCAATAAAACAATAAAATGTAAGTATAAATAGATGTATACTGTTACATGTTTAAAACTACTTAGGATAAACGAATGTAGTTTCATGTTAGAATTTGAAGTCATTCTAGAAACAAAGAAAGGGTAATTTAATTTTATTTACATTTTTTTTCGGTAGTTACAAGGTCTTGTCAAATTGACCAACCTTGTACAGAGTTAGGGTAGAGAAAATAACAGATAAAATATAAAATTTTATTGGAAAAAAAACGTTTGAAATGTATTTAGGAGGTTTTTAGAGATTATGCAAATGAAATTTGAGATTTTTGAAATAAAAGTATTTTGAATCTTAATATGAAAAATCACTTTGCACTCGGACTAGTAAACAAAAAAAAGACTCAATGTATGTACAAAGCTTTTTAGTGTATTAAAAATACTTCACAAAAAAAATCTGTTTTTTTTGTACGTGAAAGACTTATAATATTTGCTGAAAGTCTGCCAAATTTTGTGAAGATATACCTACTATAATAAAAGTTAATAGTATCAAAACTATAATGACTTTAAACAAGTACAAAGTGGTTACATGGTCGGTCAATTTGACTGAGCCCATGTAGAGTGAAAATACAATTTTGTTCTTGAATTTATAATTAAGAATATAAAAAGAGACTCTTGATAAACTTTTAAACAAACAAAATCCTATGATTTCTCTTCTACTGCAAGAAACCTTAGTTCTGACTTACTTTGTTTAGGGGATCCTTTCTTTTAAGAGACCTACTTGTTTGACTTTTGATTAGATTCTTTCCATAAATTTTTCTCAGAATTGTTTTTAAAAAGTTCTTTTAAATACCCTTATCTCAGCTTTTTGTGGAAGTATCTTGCATTGTGCCTAAAAAAATAGTGGCCAAGATTTGTCAGTTAATTTATTACTAAGAATTAGAATTCATTTTAACTTTGTTTGATTATTTCACACTGGAATCAATAAATCATAAAGAAAGTAATTTATCACCATTTTCTTATAGGGTGTTTTTTGTGTGATTATTAATTATTAATTTATTCAGAAAACAAATTCAAGAACTTGAAGATCAACATAGAATTGCCGAGGTAAAACGACAGAAGGAACAAGAGATATTAGAGGAAATGTTGGAGCAAAAGCACAAAGAATTAGCCATGTTGCAGGAGAAAAATGAAAACCTTCAACAACAGCTGCAACAAGTAAATATAGTACAAAGAAGTCTTAATTAGGTTTCACTGGATTGCAAGTTCTATAAAGATATCAGTTGACTGAAGAGTTTAGTATTATACATCATTGGGATAAAATTGCAATGAATCAGTGGATTTTCTGAACTTGACAACAGTAAATTTCCTTCCCACCCTGCACATACAATACAATAGTTGCTACTATGGAAGCACTATACTTTTATCTTAGATCAGTCAAACTTTCCATGAATAAGGTGCACTAACATTGGTGTTGAGGCTAGAATTTTCTTTAGAACACCTAAAATATTTTCATTTTCTGACCAAAAAACTTGGGTGATTCCTTTAATGCCTGTTGTAGAGGACAAGCTGTGTCAGAAATGTGTTTTTTAAAAAACAAGTATAAACCCAGCAGTCCATTGACATAATCACATGTTTCTTAGTATTGGTTGGTTCTATGTACCTTCAACTTTTACTGGATCCTTTTTCATTCCTTTATTCTGACTGTAGAATCAAGAAAAGATGCTCAGTGAAAAAGCACACTCATTTCTTTGGATCTAGATTTAAGTATATTAAAAGCTTTTTGTATAGCATTCAGTTCATTGTAAAATACCGTTTTTGGAAATGATTAAAATTACACCAATTTTAGCTGTATTGTGAGACATTGACCACTGGCAATATTTTTTTCTGTAAATTTTTTTCGTGCGTTATTATGCATATTTATAGCATACAATTTTTGAGTCCCAGTTTTATTTTGTAACAAACTTTATTATTATTTTTTACTAAGTCTACAGAAGAAATGTCTGAAAATGAAAGAAAACTGGATAGTGAAAAGATGAGTAGAGAGAAAGAGTTGATGGGAAATATTCAAGAGATTAATCTGGAACTGGAAGAGCTAAGGAAACAAGAAAAAGATTACTTACAGACGTTCTCTAAAGCTCGACAATTGTTGCAAGAGGTAATATTAGTTTTCTGCTTGTTTTTGCAGATACAAATAATAATAAATAAATGAAGGGAAAGTGTGAAATAAAAACATGTTTTGAAACTTTGAAGTGCATTCTGAAAATTTTTAATTACAATAGTTTAACCCAATAACAATGACATGCTTCAGACTTAAGCATGTTACATAACTCTTATTAAATTTAATTTCAGTAATAAAACCTGTGGATAAAATTGTTTAAAACTTCACAAGAACTTTCATTAAAGTATGTAGTTTGAGAAAAATAAGTTTTTTTTTCCTACTATTTCTAAAAAATTCATTATTTAATAATTCACCTGCAAGGCGATTTTTATTTTGAGTATAAAAATACTATTTATTGTCTTAGTTTTAACATTTCACTTGCATAATCTCTAGAACCTACTAAATGAATATCAAAAGTTTTTTTAATGTAAATGTTTTTATCTTATTTTCCATTTTTTTCTACCATATCACTAACTCTAGCTATTATCATCAATGTACAGTGCAATGAAATGCTTGAAATTAAGAATTTGAAATATATACATACCTTTTAACTCTTCATTGAGTAATCTTAATATATATTCTTTGGATCATATGCATAATTTTATGTCTTTTACCTTTTCACTTAGTTTATTTTTAGTATTTTATTTTCCTTTCCTGTTCTTTATTTTTTAGTATTTATGTTGACACGCATCAACAGGTGCTCACGGGTGATAGAACATCAACATTGGCAGAGAAGGTTTAGTATCAGGCAAAATTTTGTTTGCACTTGTAACTTTGTGGACAATTGTTTAGCAAGGCAAAGCATAGAATAAATTTATCAAATCATTAAACTTTTCAATATAAATTTTAAAACACAAATAATACATATTTAACTAAAATATAAAAGAAAAACTGAAATGTAATTTAAATGTCTATCAAAATAACTTGTATAAGGCAAAAAAAATAGCCAAGTGCTAGAGACACCACTCTCAACAATGGACTAAGATTCCTTCCAATTTCCTTAATGAAATGCATACATTGACTAATATCCACGACCTCTTTACAAGATATAGCATGAAATATGCCCTTTCTATTGGTTATAAGCATGCCATTAAATTTAAAACTGTTGCCTAGTGACACATCTACTTTGCAAGTGGGTGTGGCTTATCTTGAACTGAGGAAATTTTAAAACCATTTAAGATAAGTTCATGGAATGTACTCAAATTACTGGTAAACAACCTATATACTGAGCTTTGAATGTCTACACAAAATCGTCTTCATTACACACAGTTTCTTCTATACCAGCTCTTAAATTTGAAAATTGTAACTGCAAGCGTATAATGAGATATCAAAACTTAAGTTTTATATAATATTTTAGATTTCTTTTGAAATAAAGGAATAAAAAATTAGATAATATAAAACTTTGAATTATAACATACTTAATAATAATAATTTCATTAAAATACATTGATAGTAAAGTGGTTTAATTACTTTTTTGAATGTAACTCAGTAACATGCACAGAAAGAGTTTTAAAAGTGGCTTTGTTGTTATAGGGTTAAGTCATTTATGCATCTCATGCATTATAAATAAGGAAATATTTGTAGAACTTAAAAATTGCTTCACAGAATATTGTGAATTCAAAATATTTTTTCAATTTTAAACTCTTATGTAAAATGTTTTACTTGAATTATTGATTGAAGGCCACCTCATTAGCTTACATTTATGGTCTCTTTCTAAATAACTTTCTTATAAACCATGATTAGGTCATTCTTCCTGTCGTGAAGCTTGTAAACTGTTGTTTTTGTAGGCGTGATATCACACGTAGCAGAACACGTTACTTTACTTCAGTATGTGGATACTGTAGCTTGTCACTGATATACATAGCAATTTTTCAGCTTTGTCTTTTTTTCAGATAATTTTATCCAGTCAATAATATATAGTAATTTTGAATGTTAGTGTATATATGTTTTCATTACTGTGTTTTATCTAGCCAAACCACTCAGCTATTACTTCTTCCTGCATAATAGGAAATGAGAGGGAGGAATTTTGCCATTTATTAGATCTATATCTTTATTATACTCAATTGAACTTGAAGTTTTAATTTGTAATTGAAAGCTGCTATAACATTGGTTTTTCACTGTGAATCTCACCTGTGCAAAATCTTCTTTCTCTATCATTAGTATTCTCAGAAAATCTTTTAAATAAAAACAATCGTAGTTTTGTACCAAAACTTAAAAAAAAGCAATAAGGAAATTTATTGAAATTTAAAAAATTTGTTAAGAAAAAAAGAAAAGAGGCTTCTCTAGCACTACCTAAATGTCTCAGAAATAATTTATACTACAATTCCAGCAACTTTTCAAGGATGTAGGCTTACTTTCCTACTTTTAAGATGGAGCTCAACATTTACATTCTTGGTAAACAAAACAAAACATTCCCATGTGATTTCAAGCATCTGTGAGCTTTGCATGTACTGTAGGTTCTCTGTTGTTTCTGCTAAGACTAGAACATTAATATTTTATTACACTAAACGTGTTATATGTTACTGCATTTTGGCATTAGGGTCCGTTGGTGTCGAGACCAGCATATTGCAATCTATTATGGGAAACTATTCTACATTATATGGCAGATTTATTTCTTTTGCTGTGGAGTTGTTATTTTATATATTAATAGGTATTAGTATTCTCCTGATAGTGTTGCTGAAACTAACATAATATTAGTCTATAGTTAGTTATCGTTCTGGAAGGATAGAATTGTAGTATTTGCTGATAATATTGGTTTTTTTATTGCCAGTTTCATGTTGAAAACACTTATATGTAATTATTATTACTTTTTCATCTTTCTAGAGAAAATCACAACTTTTTACTGAAGTAGAAAATCAACGTCAGGAGTTAATGGAAGAATGGAAACGTATAGAGAACTACAAATCAAAAGAATTGCAGCTGAAAGAGAGTAAAGAGACTGAACTACGTGAAGAAAAGGAGACAGTAGAGTGGTTGCAGCAACAGAAGTACCTCCAGGTAATGCTATAATGTACTTGTAACATTTCTTGTTCATGTCTACCTCAAGGTAATGCTGTAATGAGCTTGCAACATTTCATATTGATTTCAGAGCATGTCATATGATACCTTACTCTGCTAAAACACATTAAAATCATATTAGTTCAGTAAGAGAGCGTATTTATGAATTCAATTTTTTTAAATTGGTTGTTTGTAAGTTGTTTTGTCTAGAGTACTTTGTACTTAAGTTCGGCAAGCTAATGTCCAGCTAACTGGTTGATATTGACAGATGGCTTCAATTTCCAAGTCATTTATGTTATTGTTCAAGAGCTATGTTAAAAGTTAAATAGTGAAATAAAGATGTTATGGGTTACCAGTTAGTAAACATGACAATATATTTACAATTTATATTTGAAGAGTGTATGTTTAGTTGACTAATACATCTTATTTGCATTTAACTTTGTTAACAGGGTATATTTACTTCAGTTTAGTTATACACCTTTTTTTTTAACTTTGTTTTGGTAAGAGAGTGTTTGCCTACTTTAGTTTTCTGAACAGTATTTCTTCTATGTTTTGATAACAAATTATATTTATACAAAAGTATTTTTCTATGGGTTATAAATTCATGCTAATATTATATTACTTTAAGCAAGGCATTTTAAAACAATACACAAGTCTGTAACACTTAATACGTAATGAATGTTTTAAAGTTCATAAAATTACCATCTGAATTCTTTTAACATTGAGCTCTTCAATTCCACTGTTCCAGCTTAGTTTGCTTAGTATTTTAAGTTACTTATACAATGCACTTGTTCCATGTTAGAATATTTTACAGCTTACTTTCCCTTAAGTTTAGTTAAAATTAGAGATGCACAGTTAATAAAATTTGACCGAACACTGGGTCTGGGTACCCGGTCACTAAGCTTCGGCCGGGGCTGGGTGTCAACCGGGATCGGGTTCTCCCCTTGCCCTCCCCCCAAAAAAACAACATACAAAAAAATTGGAAACAAAATCAAAATTGATGTTTATTACATTTAACCGAATAATTACCAACAGAACATTGAAGTTTTACTTTCAACTTTCAATGCCTAGCCCCAACTTCTCAAACTCTAACCCCTATTGTTTTCAAAACCCTCACCTTCCCCAGAAATTCACTTCTCAAGCCATGCCTGTTATTAACCCCTTTTGTTCTCTGAATTCCCGACTTTCAGCTAGCATTCAGTTTTTGTTGTTTGGAACACGTTTTTTTATAACTAAACCAATTATTGACTGTAAGTTTCAGTACCACGTTAGTTTCCACAAAGCTTAGAGACAGAGCCAATTATTACCGGGTAGCCCAATATCTGTCCGGGGCCAAATATTTGGTTGGGTACCTGTGCATCCCTAGTTAAAATCATTAGTTTTTTGCAGACATAGTGCTGAAAGTTATTTTATTGGATTTCTCTATATCAAGCCACATTATAATTAAGTCAGAATTTTACAGTGATATTAAACAGAATAAGTGATTTGTTGCAATTTGAGTTTTAGGCTTTAAGAATTCACCAAACCCTCCAGCTAGTATGAAGTGTAGTTAGACAATTTGATAAAATAACAGTCTTTCTGTTACAGGCTGAACTTCAGGCTAAACAACTGAAGCTTCTTCAGTGTGAGATGGAGATTATAGAAGATGCAGAAGCCAAGACAATCACCAGTTCATCACCTCAAAACAAGAAGAAAGAAACCTCGTTTAATAAGTACAAGAATAAAGTGGAGAAAGTAATAGCTGATCATGAAAAATATATTAACTTGAAACTGCATGATTTTCACCAACAGGTTGCAATGGAGAAGGAATGTCTGGAAGATATGAGACGTACTGTCTCTTTGAAAGTAATGGATATACAGCAAAGAGCAAAAGGCGTGGACCCAACTGATCTTGAAACTGATTTTCAATACACTCAAAAACTTTCTAATTTAGAAGAAGAAAGAAATAATATCTGTAAAGAACTAAGTAAGATTTTATCCCGTGAGGCTTTGATTAAAGACATGTTTAGCACAGAGCTTGAATTCTTAAAAAGTAACAAACAAAAGCTTTTGGATGAAATTCCATCAAGTTCTGAAGTGAAGGAACTAGCTTTTTCAAAGTATTTTGAGCAAAGAGAACTTGAGAATAAAATTTGTTCACTTACGAAGAAGTTGAGTGAATTAGTGGAACAGCACAAAAAAGCATTTAAAAATACAAGGAAAGAAGAGATAAAATTCAATAGGAAAAAAGATCTCGTAGAGACTGTTCAACAGAGGGAACAAGAAGAAATAAAAGAAAAAATCCAATTAGTACAGAAACTTGAGAATAAAGAAGAAGATTTGGAAAGGAAGGAAAGAGAAACACTGGAAGACATTGAAAATTCAAAAGCAAGGTAGTAATCTCAGTATCAGTGTTCTTATCTTCAAGTGAACTTCATCTCTGTATTTGTTTTTGCATATTACCCTTAAAATTCAAAATATTTTTATAGTGTTTCTCATAGAAATACTAATACTCATGGTCACACGAATACAACATGGATATGATGTTTACTGACCTAACTTTTTAGTTTCATTTAAGTGAGTTATTCTGAGTTTACTTTTTCATTATATTGACTACAGTTGTTTCCCATCTTATTAACCCACTAAATTAGCTAATGTTTCTTTAAAAGTTGAGGTTGAATAAGTTACATAAAATACTTTACTAAAGATAAGCATAACATAATTTAGCATAGGCCTTGACAAATCCTGGGTGCCAGGTCACCATGGCGAATAAAAATTTCATTGTGGTGCCTAGTATTTTCTTCCATTTTATTTATGCATAGGGATGTGCTAAATTGAACTTGAATCTTGAACAGTTCTGGACTCTTGGAACTCCAGAACTATTTTTGTGTTCATTGAGTTTGAAATCAAACTCTGTTTGTAGGATTTTAATGGCAGATTCAGCACTTCTTGTTTTTTCAGTAATGAAGCACTGCTGTTGTACAACATGTTACTAATTTCATGCCATTTTGTTTTTCTTCTTTCTCTCAGTTCAATCAGTTCACGTGATTAGACTCAGATGGGACCAATGACAGTTTTTTCAGGCAATACTATAAAGTGTTTGTTGATATCGTGATAGTTAGCATGCCCTCATTGCTGTGAAAGTAAATAAGTATAGCCCCCATTTCCCAGTACAAACAGTAGTGAAGTTAGATTAGGCAAACCAAAAGGCATGATTTAGTAGAGGTTATATAATTAGTTATATTGTGTTTATGACAGAATATGGGTAGAAGTGGGATGGAAGGATCTAGTACAGTGCTGAGTGTCACTTAAAAAATTAGTTGTTTTTATAAAATAATTATTATTTAATTCTGGGAGGCAAATACTGCTTATCTGACTCTCTTATTGTATGCTTTTCATATCTACAAAATGATGTAATTTGTCTGTGTTCTGCTTTGTAAATTATTAAATCTGGATGCTCATGTACTAAATTCAGCCTTAGATGTCACTTTCTATAGCATGATTTCGTCAAGGAAGCTATCCACTGGTTCATGTGTTCTGGAGGACCGTTCTATGACTTTCAAATGGAGCAAACATATTTCTAGATTCTTGTTGTTTATAATTGGACAGCTACAAAGAGAATGTGGATCATGTGAATAGTTTTGCTGCTTTCAGATAGAAGATTAACTTGTGTTTTGAAAGAACCAAGATATGTGCTGTGTTTTCATGTTTGTTCTTTATTTTACATGCCAGCTATGCATTCCCATATTTTAATTTTACCATTTTGAACCAAAGGACAAGTAAAATGATCTTACAATGTAAAAGAAATGTTTAATTTTATTCACGAAACTTGTTTTTTCTCTTCTGCACTTGTTCTAACAGTAACATTCTATCCATCCAAATCTTCAAACCTCTCATCATGCAGGGGTGGTTTATCTGTGTCATCATTATTTCTCTAAACCAGGAATATGAAAAATCATAGTTTGATTTTATAGCATGACAGTATTGTTACGTCTCTGCTCATTTGTTAATTTCCAGTACAAAATCTTTCGAGGAAGTTCAGCGATACAAGTCCTTTCTTAATTAAAACTAGTTTATTCTTTCTCGATACAACTTTGTAATACACAGAATTTCCACAGTCACTCTAAACTTAACCTTTATAACACACGCTATAAATCACAGCGATTCACACACTTTACTTACGGTGCGTACTGTTCGCTTGACTCAGTTATCCATCTCTTTTAATCTATCTATCTATGTCACTGGCTTTCTTTGCCAGGCTTATATACTAAAAAAGAGGGCGTCTAGCAAACACTCGGACAATCACAGGGTTCTCCGATAATTCTAGAAACTCCAGCACGGATGTTCCCAGCGTCACACGACTTCTGCTGTTGTAACAGTATTGTATTGTGTTTAATGTTATAAAGTGATATTGTATTGTGTTCTTGTTTTGTTCTGAAACAAGATTCTAGAATAATAAAATATGTAAATTTTTTAAAGGTTGAAAGAGATTGAATTGTCTCTGCAGTCCCAGATTGCATCTCAAAATTCCTCACAGTCATCTGTCAATGAGGCGCTGATTAATCAGATAGATGAAGAAAACAGTTGTGGAGTGTATGCAACAGTAAGAAGAGAATTTTTTGAAGAGCAAACTCCTAATTGTAGTTTACTTATAGATAGTAAACACGATTCAATAGAAAAACTTAGAAGTCATGATGGAACCTCAGAAGAATTAGAGAGAAAATTAATGGTAATTTATATTTTTGACATTAACACAATTATTAGTGTAGCTTATTTAAAGGATTTTATTCATCAGAGAGAAGGAAACATCTTGTAGTAAAAGCATCTGATCACAATTAATCCTCTCATTGTGAACTCTTACAAGTATTTTACATATTATAGAGGAATATAGATCTAATTGAACAGTTAAGTATTATCTATGTTCTTCAAGCATTTTAACTTGTTGTCAGGGACTTTTTACACACCTGAGGAAGTCCTATTAGTAGTTAAAATATTTAATGAAAGTATGAATTAGTTCTCTTCATCAGTGGTTGTTTTGTTGTTGTTTTTTGGATTTAGCAAATTGGTGAGTTATTCTAAAAACTTTTAAAGTTTTGAAATGAATAAATGTAATTCCAAAACATTTGTTGTCACTTTTTTCTCTTCAGTCCTGCCTACATTTAAATAACTTTGTTTCATTCATCTTTCATGTAGCTCATCTTTTCATAGAAAAAAAGAGGTTAATGCTGGTGCATAATAAGGTATCCAGACTATTAGTATATAAATCATGTTACGTAGAATATTTGCATTTAGTTTCACCACTTTAAAGTTATTGATGTACAATATATTTTCTTTAAGTAAATTTACATCTGGAGACACCCAGAATATTCCTGCATTTTCTCGTGACTTGAAGCCTGTAATTGTTGTTTAAATATGAGTATCTGGTAACACAGAATATTGTTGTACTTTCCCTTGTCTTTAAGCTTGTAAATATTGTTTAAGTATTGAGAATCTGGTAACACAGAATATTGTTGCACTTTCCCTTGACTTGAAGACTGTAATTGTTGTATAAGTATGAGTATCTGGAAACACCCACAGTATTCATGTACTGTTCCCTTGACTTGTGATTTGTAAGGTTTGTCAGTTATTAACTCGTCCAGTGACAGACATGCTATTATAGGACTGTTTTCTGTGCTTGTGTCTCGTAATCAAGATTATTTGGTGTGTTCTTGATAAAATATGCCTTCTGTTAGTATAGTTATTAAATATTTTGAGAGTTTTCTTTCCTGTTCGTCTTAAGATTGAGGATACAGAAAAGTCAACTCCATATTCTTTTTGTTTGGATAATGCACACAGTATAGTAATGATTTTTCCTCAAACGTGTGTGTTGTGGTTTTATTTATTTATAGGAACTCCTGTAAAATTTGGTTTTCCTTTGCCTTTCTTTGGCTAGTGAAATCTCTCATCTTCAGTTATCTTTTTTTGGATGTTACCCTTCTAAAAGTAGAAATACTTAACCCAATTATATGCAACTTGGTACAAACTTTTTAAATAGTATTTAGTTTCTGCTTTAAAAAAAATTTATAAAAAAGTTCCAAAATTTATGAGCAATCTAGAGCCTCACCTTTCAAAAGGGCATGACTGTTACCTTTCTTAGATTAGATATTGTGAGGTTTTCAATAGTATTCATAGAGAATATAATTTTATATCATATAAATATAGTTTGTTTTCAAGAAATAAGTTGTTTTATTTGTTTATGTATTGTTTGAATATAATAAACTATTAAGTTTAGATAACATTCAGTAAAAAGAATTTGAGTCATCTGAATAGTTTATCATTGCTAACTGTACTTGCTATACCTAACTAAGGTTATCTGATTTATTATCATAAAATAAAATTCCTGTAGCTTTCAAATATACATAATTTAGAAGAAAAACAAAAAGGTCAAAAGAAACTAAAAATAGAAATTTAGTGATTGGCTGTAGTTATTTTCAAAGCTGAAATTCATTTGTAATCATTCAAACATCATAAAAGGGTAGCAAAAAGGGGTTGTAGTAATATAATCAATAATAAAGGACAGAAATTATGTGAAAAATAAGACATAAACCATTATATTTTCCAGGGATTATAGTTTCTTAGCAAATATAAACCTATACTTAGGTATAAGCAGAAAAATTCTAAAAGAATAAATAAATAAATAAATGCATTTAATACAGGAGAGATTCCTTGGAGCCATGTAGAGATGAAAGTTGGAACTTGTTTTTTCATTTTACATTGTGAATTGTGCTAAATAAATGTTATATAATGATAAAATATCAAATATTTTTTAGTAAACATTTTTAGGTATAGAGTTACAATTATATTTCTTCCTTAGATTATTTCAAAATTTAACATGCAGGTGTATGCTTTACATCTGAAAGGTGCACACTAGTCTGGTTAGTTAACTGGTGACAGTTTCATTTAGCACTAATTGCTTGATTCTAGCTAGTAACTAAATCCATATGCGTATAGTAATATTTTATAACATACAAAGCAAACTTGAATTTATATTTCACCCTGTATCTTTGGTTTCAGTGTGTGAGTTTCCAGCTGTTCCATATTTAAGGAAATAGTGAAAATCTGTCCCCAGATGGCAGGAAAATAAACCTAATTTAAAATACCAGAGTTCCTTTTACTGGTTTAGTGATCATCTTCTCCACATACTTCTTAACTGTATAACTGTGGTATCCAAGTTACTGTTTTGCAAATGTTGGTAGAAATATTTCCACATTTATGTACTGCACAGTTAGATATTGACATAAAATGTTATTTATTTATTCTGTGGTCAGAGAGATAATCAGAGTAAATAGAGTATATACGGTAACAAATGAAGTATTTCAAAGTAGTTCTCCTTATCATGCAATATTTCAATCTTTCCAGATATATCTGTATAATATACCTATTGTAATTTTTTAAATATTAGTTGGTCATCACAAGTACATGTATGTGTTATCCAGGAAATTAACATTTTGGAAATGGAGTATACAACTCTTAAGCAAGATCTTGAAGAAAAGAAGAAAGCTTTTGAACAGGAGAGACAGTATGAATTAGACCACATAGAAGTAGAAAAATTTCACTTGCAGGAACTGGAGCATCAAGAAAGGTAGATGAATATAATGCTTAATATACCACTGACACTATATATGTTTTTGATATTGCTGCTAAATAAGAATAATCTCTTCTATGGCCTAGTGGTTTGGGTGCTTGTCTCACATTTTGCACGTCATAGGTTCAAAGTTCATCATCAAACATACTTGCCTTTTCAACCATAGGGACATTATAATGTGAAGGTTAATCCCATTTATTGTTGGTCAAGAGTAGCCAAAGAGTTAGCAGCAGTGGGTGATGTTGACTAGCTGCCTTCCCTGTAGTCTGTCTCTTCTAAATTAGGGACAGCTAACATGGATAGCCTTGAAGTAGCTTTGCACAAAATTAAAATAACAAACAGATCTCGTTTATGCTATTTTTACATTTCATTATTTTATAGCATTGGTTGACTTTTGCTAGGTGATATCAGTTACTCATAATGACATTTTGCAGCCTATAATGTTTTTAGTTTGGTAAGGTGAAGATTGTTGATGATAAATGCCCCTTTTTTCATTTTTTTTTATCTTGTACCAGAGTTAGTCATGCTATTTATGGATTTTGCTTACTTCAGCTTTTCAATCATTATCAGCCATATTATTTTTTACATTCATGTCAATGACTGAAGCTGAGTTTCTGTTCCAACTTGCATATTTTTTCCTGGTATTTTTACCTTTTGGTTAAGTTCTGTAGGCTTTATTCAGATTTGTTCTTAATCCATTTGGGAATCAACAGACTATTGAGGATGTTGTTTAAAGGCACTCTTACCTTGTTACATGTGGATTACTGGTTGATAGAAATACTTTACACATGATTTTACACATTGCTTGAGATCCTGGAATGTAATGTTAGTGAATGGAAATCTGTTGACAATCATGGATATACCTTGAATCACTTATGAATCACTGTACTTATATATTTAATATTGATTAAATGTATTTTGACTGAGGAAAATCATTTGGATTTGAATGTTTCCACCCATTTTCTTGGCTCATATCATGTAATTTTAGTACATACCTTGCATTTTCCATCCATTTTCTTGGCCCTTATCATGTAATTTTAGTAGGTACTGTGCATGTTTCCATCTTTTTATTGGCCCTTATCATGTAATTTTAGTAGGTGCTGTGCATGTTTCCGTCATTTTGATTGGCCATTATCGCATAATTATAGTATGTACCATGCAGTTTTCAGTCCTGTTTTTTGGCTTGTATCATGTAATTTTAGTATGTACAGTGCATGTTTCTGTCCATTTTCTTGGCTCTTATCACATAATTTTTTTATGTACTGTGCATGTTTCTGTCCTTTTTTTTTTTGCTTGTATCATGTAATTTTAGTATGTACAGTGCATATTTGTCCATTTCCATGGCCCTTATCACAATTTTTGTATGTACTGTGCATGTTTGTCCATTTCCATGGCCCTTATCACAATTTTTGTATGTACTGTGCATGTTTCAGTCCTTTTTCTTGGTCCTTGTCACATAATTTTTGTATGTACTGTGCATGTTTCCATCCATTTTCTTGGTCATTATCACGTAATTTTAATATGTATCGTGCATGTTTTATTCCATTTTCTTGGCCTTTATCATGTAATTTTAATATGTATCATGCATGTTTTATTCCATTTTCTTGGCCCTTACATAATTTTAGTATGTACCACACATGTGTTTCTGTCCACTTTTTTTTACCTTTATCATATAATTTAGGCCTGGCATGACCAGGTGGTTAGGGCACTTGAATCCCAATCTGAGGGTTAAGGGTTCGAATCCCCATCCCACCAAACGTTCTCACCCTTTCAGCCATGGGAGATTTATAATGTGATGGTCAATCCCACTATTAATTGGTAAAAGAGTAGCCCAAGAGTTGGAGGTGGATGGTGATGACTAGCTGCCTTCCCTCTAGTCTTTCACTGCTAAATTAGGGATGGTCAGTGCAGATATCCCTCGTGTAGCTTTGCACGAAATTCAAACCAATCATATAATTTGAGTATATAGTGTGCTTGTTTCCATCCACATTCTCAGCCATAATCACATAATTTATTTATCGACTATTTTTATTGACTTTTTTTGGTGAGATGAACGTAACTTCAACACGTGTAGATGTTATTCCATAGAAAACTCTCAGTTCTGCATTTTACATGAAATACATCTAAAAAATATGCTTTGAAGTAAATAGAAAGTCTGCATAGTTGTGTTTGTTTGTAACTATAAGATCGAGTTGACTGAAGATAGTGACCCTAGAAGAAGCCTGTGGCATACCTGTTTAATGAAGAGAAGAAAAAAAAAAGATATAACACCATTTCAAAACTTCTGTGGTTACATCTTGAACTAATTGTTATTTCTATTAGAAGTATAGAGCAACAGTATTTATTTATTGCATTTCCTCTTGAAAAATTTTCTATATTATGACTTGTTTACTCTTATTTTGTGCTAGTAGTGTTGAGAGTATATGCCTATAGATTGTGACATAGCATGGTGAAAAGAACAGACTATGCTAAGGTCTTAATGTCTAGCACTACATTGCAACTGTTTTCCTGCTATATTTAAATCTCCTATTTACCAAACTCCTGTGTATATGTTGTACACACAGATATATATATATATTTATATATATTCATAAAATCACATTACTTAAACACTTGGGTCCAAGACAACAAGAAACTTTGCTATTTGTGCAGCTATCTTTCCTGCACAGAACTAAGTTGGTTCAGCTAAGTGAACTTCGTCTTTTGCAATGTGCAGTGAACAAAAATAGGTTGAGTCAAGCAGTAGTTTCTTTATCTTAATATTTAAAGCTTGAGAAACACATTTTGTTTTATGTTGTTTAACAAAAGGTGCGGTTTTTAATTCAGTTCTTTTTGAACATTCCATTTTACTCGCTCACGTCATATGTGAAAGCAGTAAATTCAACTTGAGCACAGGTTACTCTAGGGTCGAGAGTAGTCAACAGCAGTTATAGATTTTGTGAAGCGAGGAAATCCACGATACACTTTAAATATAAAGTCCAGTCACGGCTTTTGAGCGGATTGTTTATTTTTATGTTTTGTTTAACTTTATTGTGACGTTAGATGGTGCATTAAGATGACAGTTACTTGATGATGCCCACATGAGTGGTAGGAGTGGTCGAAACATTGTAATAAAGTTAAACAAAAAAGAAAAATAATGAACAGTCCACTCAAAAGCTGTATCTCTGGACTTTTTAAAGTGATTTTAGTTGTTGACAAGTTGGACAATGGTGCGATGATGCTCTATTTGTTTTACAGCTTCTGCTGCAGTGGTGCAGTTGTAGCCTGCCAGTTATCAAGTTGTAATTGTAATTATCTTTTGTTTTATTTTCTTATGCCACTCCCTCATTAGAGTGTAGTTTTGATGATACCTGAGAACCAGGCAGTTTTCCTGCAGGGAGATCAGCATGCAGCTATTATATGCCAGTGAATGTATAAGTGGTTGGGCTTCGTTTTTGTAAGGTATAGAAATTCATTTAAACAGTTGCAGCAGAATACACTTTGGTTTTGATAGCATATATGTGGAATCTTTACATTTGGTTATGACATCACTAGTATAGCAAACTTCAGTGCCAAGTTGGAATGTGGGTTTGATTAATCACCACCTTACACTGAAACCTGAACACTTGGTCTGTATCTGGATATGTTGGCCAGTGATGATATCATTGCTTCTCACAGAATAGCAGTTACAAAATCAATTCTTCTTCCAACTTTTGTGAAGAGTGTACATTTATTTTTATACTTGCACTTTAAGTTTGAAAACAAACTTTTGTTCTGCTAGTATCAAGGAAACCATTTTGGAAATTAGTCTTAATCCAACTATTGAGCTGGAGAAATTTTTCGAGCCTTCACCTTTGGCCTAGAAGCACAACACCACTGGTTGTGTGTCCTATACCAATTTGTGATGTCTGCACCCAATCTGATGAAGATGTGTGATTTTCATACACTATGACTAAATCATTTGACTTTTAATATTGCTATTAAAATTGGCTTGAAGACATGCATAAGTTGAGGGAGAAGAGGGTTCTAAAATGCAAATACTACATACATTACTCTCCTATATTTTATATTTCATCTTTCCAATTTTTTAAGTTCTCACATGTAATATGCTAAATATAGTTGGAGTCATGTCCTAACTTCACCATGAGGTGTTACTTTGTCAGAGAGAAGGTGCTTTGTGCATGCAGTTTACCAGACCTTTGAGGAGAAAAGATGTGTTGCTGACTTGGAAAAGTCAAAACTCGCTTGGTAAAGTCTCATCTGTATAATAAGCTTTATTTGCTGCTGATCATGCATTTATTTCTTGCTGCATAATGTTCATTCCTGTAAGTAATTTCTGTTAAGAAACGCATACCTCACACAAAGTTATCTCGATCATTGTCTGCCCTCTAAGCATTGCTAAAAAGAATTTTTGCAATCAGTGCACCAGTCTTTATACCCCATCAGTTTGCACCACGTCTGAAAATGAACATATCATGTGACTACTCTCCACCAATAGTATTGTACCATCTATACTAGTGCAGCTAGCTCCTTCTGCTATTCCAGCTCAATCCTCACTTTCTCGATTGTCACAGCATTGTTTAGACGTATTTTTTTTACATGTGTCTACCATTTATGAACGTGCTTCTTTGCCTTTTCAAGTTTTTTTCAGCAGTTTTATTTTTCTGTGTTTGCACTTATTTCTTGTTAATGAATTATAAGAGATATTGGTATGAATTTGCGCTAGTGCATCAACTACAGTAAGAATCCGTTATATTCGACAAAGGTACTGGTAAGACTTTCCAGGTATCGGGTTCGATTTTACCTGCTAAGGAGGTACAGGCCTTAATTTGCAGGAAGCTAGATTCATATGTTCAGCAGGTGTTTTCTTCTTCTTTTCAATGTGACAATGCTTTTGAGGAAGAAGACAATCAATGATAAGACAATTTGGGCTCTACACTTCTTCAGGAGTTTCACCTTCCACCAGTTGCTGAGCTATCGCGTCATTCACTTTGGTGGAGAATTGTTCTCTTCCTTCTTTCTTCCTCTTGATTCTAGTTCTCCCAGGGGATCTGTGGTAAGTTTTCAACATGTACTCTTAACAACTGGTTGATATACCAAAGGTAGGTGTGGCTCAGACAACCTTTGTGTGGTTTTGTTCTTATTTACAAACAGGAGAATTAAATATTTCATATCATCAGTGCTCGGACTTTGGAGTGTTAAATATTTATGTGTCCTTTGTCATCTAAGTTACTTTAGGTGAATTGTAAATGTAAAATTGATTATTACTTTGTTTTTTAGCTAAATTTAATCGTTTTGCATGTTTGTTTGTTAATATTATATACTTTGTAGACTCAGCAAATTTTGTTAGTTTGTTATTAATAAGTTCTTTAACCAGGTATGTTTAGATTTCTGTAAGTTACATATTATTACTACTAGTTACATCTAATTCATTGTTCTTCTCATTAATAACCATGTGTCACATCATCCTTATTATCCTAATATTTGTCAGAGAAGGACTTAAATTTCTTTGCTTTGTTACATCACTTACGTGTGCATTTCTTTCCTGTTTGTAAGACTGGTATTTGCTTTGGCTCCTTTCCTACATTCATGATACTAGAAACCTTATTTTCTCCTTGTAATCTACAATTCGGAGTTCTTCCCCACAGTGCCCACTTTGTTGATAGTTATTTGTGGCTCTGTCATGTTTTCCAGTTCAGGACCCTACCATTTGTACTAACCTTGGCTCTTTAAGTGTTTTGTCAGGGGGCACAAACTCTTGCCCAACATCTTCACTCTATGAAGGATGACTGGCTCCTGCTTGCCTCTTCCCATTCTCAGTCCAAAGACCACACTCCTCTGCTCCTACAGGATGCAGCATGGGTGGGATTCCTGATGATAGAGAGGAAGTCCATTCTTACCCCCTCCCAATACCCCATTCATTTGGAGAGATTTCTTCTTTCCAACCTCAGTTGGGCTCAACCTTCTCCTATATGTCTTTAGGTTTGGAGCAAGCAGCTCACACATCCCTCACCCCACATTTCTTGCAGCCTGAGATGTTCTATCTCTTTGGGGATGTGGGCTTCTTTGGAAGCTATTTTTCCAATGGATTGGGTTTATATGTGTTCCCTTTGGTGGGCACTCCAAAATAGGGTGGTACTTTTCCTCAGATCCCTGGCTTGGTGGTTAGACAGAGACCAGACCACAGAGGAGGTGCTGCTTACTCCACCTCCTCCACATTTACATCTGTTAACAGACTCATCTTTAGAGGGTTGGGGTTCTTACCTTGCCTCCTGGGAGATTTCATGTTTCTGGTCGATCACAGAGTCTACTCTCTATATCACCATTCTCAAGCCTTTGGCGGTCCATTGAGCATTATCCCACTTCCTTCCTCTCCTACAGGGTGGGGGTTATGGTACATTTTGATATCTCAATAGTGGTAACTGATTTCACAGAGCCAAGGGGTACCAATTCCATGTCTCTGTGCTTTCAGATCCTGGATCTCCTTTTTGAGCCCACAGTCATCATGTTGTGGTCTTTGCTTGCATTTTTTCTGGCTCCCTGAATCTCCTCACCGAGTGGTCCCTTGATCCACAGGTCTTTAGGCAAGTGTGTTCTCAGCTGAGGATACTTCATTTATGCCTTTGCTACCCACGGGAACACCAGCTTCCTTCCCTTTAGTCTCCTGTTCCTCACCCACTAACTCTTAGGGTGGTTGTATTCTGTCAAGATTGGAGGGGTCTTAATATTTATGCTTACCCTCTTATTTGACTCATCTTCAGAGTTTTGTCCTTTATTCAAACCATTCCATGTCTCGTCCTAATGGTGGCTCCATCTTGGCCAGCTCAATCATTGTTCTCACTGCTCCAACCTTTACTTGTACAACCTCCCCTACTTTTCCCTCTGTCTCAGTCCCTGATCTGTCGACCTAGCTCAGACAATGTTCTTCCAGATGTCACCACACTGTCTTCACACATGGATTTGGTCAGGTCCGTTGTCTCAGCCCAGGGACTGACTACATTACATGTGTTGCATCTTTTTTTCCCAATTCATTAGACCTTCTTCCATGCCTGTTTACCACAAGCAATGGTATATCTTGCACCTTTGGTCTCTTCCACATGGTTTACGTCCTCCCCACCAATCCATTTCTCATTTTTCCCTATTCATCACCTAATTGTTTGAAAATGGCTTGTCAACTTCAATCATGTCTAGCTATCGGGTGGCCTTGTCGAACACCTGCTGTTTTTCCAGATTTTGTCTGCTTTTGTCTTCCCCTGTCACTTCCTTCCTTTTTTCTGCTCCTTTCGAGTCTTACTCCTCCATTTTCTTTTTATTTGTCTGATTGGGATCCCAATGTGGTCCTTTATGCTTTTACCATCCTCCCTTTCAACCTTTGTCTGCATGTTCTATCTACCATCTCTCCCTCAAGACCTATTTCCTTCTCCTCCTTGCTTGTGGAAATGGTCAATCAAATATTTTTGCTTTTCTTGTTACCTGCTTCATCTACCATTCCTCTTATGTCATGCTATATCCTGACCAGTCCTTTCTACCTCAGACCCATGCTGTCCTTAACTTCCATCTCCTACTGGTATTCCCATTCTGATCCCATTTGGCTTTTTTGTCCAGTTCACTTCTTATGGTATTATGTGGCACGTCCTGTTTCCTTCCAGGGTTCAAGTTCCTGATTTTTATCCCCTGGAACTCTTCAGTTTTCTGTGTTCTAATCCCTGTCACAATAACTGGTTGGGTTTATCAACTCATTAGGCTGGCTTATTCGGACTTATCCATAGAAGTTTGCCATCTCCATGACATTTCTTCTCACCATATTACCACATCTTTGGTTTCTTGCTTTCGCCATCAGTTGGAGGAGATCGTCCAGGCTGAAATGTGGACTACACCCAATGCCTTCATCAGACATTAGCTGCATGATCTGCCTGTATCTTCCTCTGGCAGATATTGTCTTCCTCCCATGGTGATTCTACACACATCAATTTGCCTTTTACCGGGGTAAGTCTTATCACTTCCTTTCATCTATGTTTTCTTTTCAGTATCCCTAGTCTTCACCACTATAAGAATCCCACTCTGTGATGGGTGTTGCTTTGCCTCAAACCCGCACTAGTTTAGAGTTGCTATATAAAACTCACTGTATAGGTGGGATGTTTTAGTAAGAATATTGGTCATTTACCCAGTGATGTATATATATGTACTAAATATCAATCAATTTCAGTCTATGGTGGGCTGTCACTCATGAACTTCATGAGTAAAGTAAAAGGGAATTTCTTGTGTGTATTTATATTTAGTCACTGTTAAAGGTCTGTAATTTTTTTCATAGAATAAATATCCTTGTGGAACAAGAAGTTCAACGACGACTTTTTGAAGAGCAACTTAGGAAAGAATATTTGCTTCAAGAAGAGCACTTGCAGGAACGAAGTAATCGAGAAAGAGAACTTAATGATATAAGAAATTATCATGAAAAGGAACTGAAACACCTTAGGCAAAGATTAGAAATAAACAGGTAAAATGCATTGTATAATAATAGCTTTAGATAAACTAGAAGAATATATAAATCACATTTTTTAAAAGTACTGGCTTGGTTTGAATGTTATGTGAAAAGCTAGTGGTAACAGATTTTTTATGAGCCCAGTTTTTTATTTTGGGTAAAAAAAATTGTGAAATGAGCAAGCTTTCTAGATTGATGGGTTCTAAGTGTTCATTATTTAAAAAAAAAGGTTTTATTAACATATTTTGACCAACAAATAACTTTGATATTATTTTTAAAGTTTTTTCTTTTAAAAATTTGATATTTAAAGGAAATTCTAGGATTGAGGACACTTTGTATTTGTAATAAATGTGATTCATCTTGATGCACAAATATAAGACTTAATTCAAAACAGAAAAAATATTTGTGGTGATCATATGAACCACATGGTCAAAGTGTTAAGTTTTGAAAGAAAAAACACAGTTGATTTGAGGGTCAAAAGCCTAAGCCAGAAAATTTCGTAACTTCTAATTATGGATACAACATACAAACAAAACAGGATGTTAAATATATAATAAATTTGATAACACATGATTATGTGTCTCATTAATAGTTCTTAAAACATATGTGTACACAAAGTTAACTGTACTCTATAAAGACTTATGTATACTATCGTAGTAGCATGTAACTGCGTATGTGAGCTGTGTTGTAACACGTTTAGCATGTGTATTTGGTCTACTGCAAATTTTCGACCATTTGATGTTACAGTGCCTCAGAGATGGCTTTATGGCTAAAGTGCTTTATTGCAGTCCTTTCTAAAGAAGAATATTCTGGTAAAAAGGTTGTGAAGTTAAAACCTACAGGACACAACATTTCAAAGTTAAAAGCCTTCAATGATCTCTGGAGAAAAAAAACTTTCACAGCAGAGCATTTAGAAACCACACCCCAAGCCAATCCAAAACAGTGCCCCCATTCTCAAAGTTAAAGACTGTGGTTATGAAAGATAACCATTTTATCCAAGATGCTGCTACTTTTAACAAGATAATTATCAAGGATTTTAAGTTAATGAAAGCTCACAAACCAAATGTTCAAAAACTTCTAGCTGAACTTCGAAATTGGTTGCTGTTTCCATGAAAAAGATGGCTTAAGACACTTAATTCACAAAATACTGTTCAACCTTATACCTTGTCCCATGATGAAGCTCCGTTGGGCTTTTGTGCCTTTAGTGTACTCAACCCTTTCCCTGTTTTATCATTTAATGATTTTTATGGATATGCGTATTTGACTACTTACCTAAGTAAGCATGAGTGAAGCGTATCCTTCTAGTATCATTGAATGAAAATATAAGGAATTAATAAAAAAAAATTGTATTTATCCTAGGTTTACATTTTCTCTTGAGTTAAAGTAACTTAACCTGTCATCATTCACGTGTATTTTGAGTGTCACATGTGATGCTTTAATCTCATATGTTGAACCAAAACAACCAGTTTCTATTCTCATATTAAGGAGCATTAGCTGCATATCAAATAAATGTAGCTGTGTATTACATATAATACTCAGGAGCTCTAGCATTGTGTCCTGGGTATCACATGTGATGAACTGGACAGAGATAGGTTTAAACATGTCATGAGTCCATTCCACAAACAATGAAATGTCCATGGAAAGTTTGTCAAAATATGTGGTCTGAGTTGACCATGCTGTCTCTTCTAATAAGTTTATTACCATTAAATTACTGCATAAGCATAGACATCAGATTGAGTATAACCAACAAGAGCAGCAGGGTACTTGAGACAAAATTCTTATAAAGTGTAATTAACTCTCAATAAATGACTCAGTGAAATTATTTTCTACTTGGTGCAATAAATGGTTTTATTCATTCTTTTAAAAATTCACATTTAAGAAAACAGAATTTCTAAAAGAAAAGTTCAAAATTTTTTTTTCCAAAGAAACAGAAAACAGTTCATCAAAAACAGTGAGATTGATACCCAATATTTTGATAACCTTTCCTTTGTTGAAACTACTCGATTCTGTGTTAACTTCTTGTGTAGGAATAAATCAATCTTATTTAACCAAATTTGAAAAACTTTTCTCTGTAGAAACTACTCAATCTTATTTAACCAAATTTGAAAAACTTTTCTCTGTAGAAACTACTCAATTTTGTGTTTCCGTATCTTTAAATTTCTCTGTAGGAATGACTGCTAATACCATCTTGTAAACATTACAAAATGGTGCCCATTTAAAAAGAAATGTTAATTTTAGCTTTGTAATTTGAAGAAGAAGCTCTGTTTATAAGAGAGGAAGAGTGACACCTGGATTAAAATAGTATAATTATTTAGAAAACTTACTGTGAAGTACTATAGTGTTGTTGCATGCAATTTCTTTGTTGGATTTTTTTTTCTTTGATCATCAACTAAGAAAGGTTTTTATTATAACTAATGAGTGTAATTTAAAAGCCAGTTTTATAGAATTATTATAATGTTTTTCATGCTTCAGGAGTGCAAGCCCAATGTTGAATAACATTTCTTCGGACAGGGTAAGGCTTAGATCTCATTTTTTTTACTACAATGTTTGATGTGTTTTAACTTTTTTGTATTCAGCAATATTTATTCTTTGAATAATATATTATTTAGTAGTCTTAAGTATAGCATGTAATTAACTTAGCTTCAGAAAGTAGCTGTGAGGATAGAGAGTAAATAGAAATTACATGTAAAGAAACAAGATAATTAACAAGATGATGATTAAGAGCCATAAAGACCTATTTTCATAATTTTGAGAATAATTAATGCTTTCAAAAATGATCTAAAATTTAAGATAACTAGAAAAATTGTAGATTACTAAAGAGGTATTAAATCTTATTTTTTCATCACTATACTTGTGAAAAAGCTCAGTCTTTGAAATAATGAACATCAAAGCATAAATGAAAAAGTACTTACATTATGAATGGAACTTGAAATAACCCTGAGTAGGTTTAAAAACATGTAAGAATTTAGAAACTAAATGGGCATGATGCTATTATGTGACATATAAACATCAGAAAATAACACTCTTAGCTTTTGGTTATCAGGTCTCCTCAGTATAATAGTAATATTTCCTTGCATTTTAATTTTGAATGGCCTACTTTTACCTTGAAATTTTCTGCCCTATATCAAATGGTAAGAAGAGGGAATAAGTAATTTCTGAATTGAAATTTTGCTGTATCTATCTTTTTGTCATGTATATCTGCAGTAGTTAACTGGTAATGTGAAAAGCACCAGACATTCAAAAAATAACTAATTTTAAACCTTCAATGTCATTTATATAATGTGCTTAGTGGTTAGAATGTTGGGCTAGGTTCCAGGGTTGAGCATGTTGCCATATAGTTTCACCTGTGGGTGTATTATAAAAATGATCATTCTTCAATTCAAAGAACTGGAGAAGACCCTTGTAATGGTGGATGCTGCTGGATGGGTTCCCTTTGGTCAGTATACCAGAATCCTAGGCATTTCTCAATGGCCATTTAACCCATTTTTTATAAAGAGTGCTGTTTAACTTGAACATTTCAGTTCAATTTATATGATCCCTATACTTAGTATTGACCTTTTACATATACATAAGTTGAAGTGGACTTATTGAAATAGTCAGAATTAAAGACCACTTGGAAGATATTAATAACAGGAATTCAAAACTAGTTAATGTTCATTTTATAATCATGACTTGAAATGCTTGTATTTCTTCTGTGCCCAAATTTTACAGGTAAAATTTACTGTATTGTTTCAAAGTGTTTAAAAAAAATTCCATGTACCTGTACAAAAAACATCCACTTCTCAGTTTAGAAAACTAGCCTTCCTTTATACCATGTTTTTTTTTTCTGTATGTATTGCAGTGTTGTGTATTTCTGTTATGGATAGATGACTCTGTGATATTCTGGCTCTTTCAGTGGTTATAAGTATATGTGAGAGTTTGCTACAGTTGTCAGAGGAAAGATAACAGCAGAAAGCTAAGAGTGATTATTTTTGTTTTTATAACTTCAGTGGACCTTGGCATAAATCTTTTTGAATTTGCTTCATGTTTGGTTAGTTTCGTATGTTTTGACAAGTGTTCTTGGTAGTTACCAAACGTGTATCCTTACATATTCCATCCTTCTGTCCAAATAGTTTACAATTACACACAATTGTTTTTCAGTAGTTGAAAAATATATATTTAAACAGACATTATAAAACTCTTTGAAAATAGTATGAAGTTTTCAAAATTAGTATTAAAAGGTTAAAATTCAAGGTACTTGTGTAAATATAAATAATTAAACTCTCAGACAATCAGTATATTTTAAGTACATAATTTAAAACCTATTCTGAATGTCTCAGAGTAAAGTTTTTAAATTGTGTACTTAAATAACACTGTTTAAAGTGCTTTAATTATTTTCAAAATTAGGTTGAAAACCTGGGATAGTGTTACGAGATTTCCCATTAAAAATTTCATTATTTAGAAAACTTAATAACCCACTTCAGGTTTACTCAGTCAAGAAAACGTAATAATTTGTTAAGAAGACTGTGCAAGAAGGTATTTTCATATTTGACTTTAGTGAATGATGGTTTATGATTTTTCTTAACTGCTTAATAATCCTCAGTGTTATTATTACATGTTGCACTTTGAATTCTTAATTCAGGATCTCAAACAGTGTGCTTTTTATCTTATGATAGATGTAAATTTTAATATCAAAATTAATGTTACTAATAATGGATTATTAAACACACATGCTCATAAGTTTCATTCTTAAACCTTCTTTTATACTGGTCTGCTGTGGAAATAACTCATAATTGATAAATCCTTTGGCCTCAAAAGAGTAATAGTTTTTGTTAATCTTTGGTTTACAATGTTTCATTTGTTAATTTGTGCACCTTTGAAATTGAAATATTTTGAAGTATGATGCATATAAATACAAGTTTTGAAAGGCATGACCTTCATGATACATTCACAGGATAGACCCACAACATCTCATTCCATACATTAACAATTATTTTCACTCTATTTTGGGTCCCTCGGTGGACAGAGCATATAGCCCATTGTGACTTTGGTATAACAAAACACACACATATATTTTGTCCACCGGTGGGACAGTGGTAAGTCTACAGATTTACAATGCTAAAATTAGGTGTTAGATTTCCCTTGGTAGACAAAGCAGACTGCCTGTCAATGGATTTACATCTAGTATATTATGAAAGCAATTTTACTATAAATTTTAAATATTTTTAATTTAGTGGCATTTCTTTATGACAATTAGAAATCAATAAGAATTTATAAATCTGTATTATTTATGTAATTTTTAACAAATTTCAGATAAGTTGTGAAATGGTGTCATTAGTATGTTATTCATTGTAGCAGTGAACTGGGAATGACAAAGTTTTCACTTAAGAGTTCAAAAACATGTTCCCATTAAAAGTTGTGAAGTCTGTTTATTCTTGTTTTCATAGGGTCAACAACTGCAACATAAATCTGTCTTCCTATCTTGAAGTATTTAACACCTTGAATATTTAAAACTTTAAGTTGTGGGCTTATACTAGATGCCTATTTTTTGAGTAAAAGTCTCTGTGTTGTAGTTTACATGATCTGTCCTGTCTTCCAGACAGCATCTGCTGCTACTAATGACCTAGCAGAAACTGGTCAGGAGGTAAAAATTTCCATTCCTTCCTACACAATGCGAGGCAGTGGTGGAGACGCACATTACGAGTATGAAGTTAAGGTATGAAATCTCTGGGAATGTATCAGCTAAAAGTCAGTTTACTTGCCCCAATATAAAACAAAAGTCAGATTCTGTGTAACTTACTGAGAATAAAATGAATTTCAGTTGATATCAAGCAGATTCCTGTTTACATCAGTTTTGTATCGTGTAATCCAAGTAAAAGATGACTTCCCATCCAACAGAGAATTGGTGTGTAAAGTGAAGATTACTTTTCGTCTTTCATGTTAATGTTTTTATGTCACAAAATATTGCTCATGTTTGAAGTGAGGCTACTTATATTTATTTCATACATGTTCGTAACAGTCAGTTGCTTTATTTAATAAATAGAAAAGGTTTGTCTTACAGTAAATTGTTTTACTTTATAAATGGAAAAGTTTTTGTCTCATAGTAAATAGTTTCATTTCATACTGGAAAAGGTTTGTGTCACAATAAGTTGTTTTATTTCTGTATAATTACCCTGTAAGTACTACTGCCGTCTAGAAATGGAGTTTTTGCTCTAGTATCCTTATAATATTTATCTATTTTCTTTCAGTTTCTTCAACCATTCAAACACCTATCTAGTGCTTCTTCATGTTTTCATCTTTCAGTTCTTTATTATAACTAAAAAGTTTTGACTTCCATCTAAATTAATCTTCTTCGTGCCTTCCATTGAAGCTTGGGTAGCAACTTGTTGTATGGCTAACTAAAGGTGGCTGATGGTGGTGTATAAGGTATTATTCTCATTATATACCAATGCAAGTATTTAGCCAATCAGCTAATTAATAAGGTGGCTTCTCTGCATTTATACATACATACTTTTCCTGTTATTAACCCTTCTTATTTTTCTATATATAAATGTGTTTACCCTAATTGTCCATTTTAACCAATAGTCTTAATTTGTTCTTTAATCATGAAGTAACTATTTCATAATTCTGAGAATCTTTTAGTGTTAATTTTGGACATTATATCAGGTTTCTAAACCTGTTTCTATGGTAACAGATTAAGTAGTCTCTCACTGACCAGTGGTAGTGATTATGATGATCATCATGTTTTCTAGGTTTCTTTTATTTATTTTTCTAATTGACAGGTGAGAATTAATAATGTCGTTATTAGTCTAAATATCAGTTATTAATATAAGCACTCTGTTTAATTCCCCCAGTAGGACATAAGTTTGGAACACTTTTCACACACATAATCTTTGTGAACAATGTAGTAATATGGTGTTGCATCATCCTTGGCTTAAAAAACTGCTTATGTCCTACAATACATTCTTTCAACTAAATACTAACAGTGTTTCTTCTTTATTGATTAAAAGTTTTATATTTTAAAATAAAATAACACTCTTCAAAGGTGGGTTCAAAGCTAATATCTAAGTTCAAAAATATTGCAAGGGATTTAATGTCTCTGCTGTGGCCAGGCTATTTCAAAATGTTGCTTTGAAAATACAGATGAAAAATATGTGACAGTGTGAAACGCTGGTCTATTGACCAAAACACTCCATCATGGTTCCTGGAGTGTGTTCATTTGAGCTCTTTTGATATTCATGGACATTTAGGTTTGTAGATATTTACAGGTAGAACCCACAAAATGTAGTTGCCTCATACATAACACCACCACAGTTGGTACAACACATTCACTTGCATATCTCCACACCACTTTTAGCCACATTACAAACCTCAATAAAGTGACTTTCATCACTTCACAGAACTTGCCTTGAGTTATCATGATTTCAGTGCTGCAATGCTTAATATCTATCCCATTTTCATGTACTGAATGTATCTGTCTTTTTGTAACTACTGAGTTCTTTTATATAGTATTCTGAACGGATTATGCAAAATATTAAAAATATATCCAATTACCTTTTGCAGGTTGGTGTTTACAATCAGTTCTTTATTTTTATACTATGGACCTTAATATCCGTTTTTATAAATATAAGATACAGAAATTTCTCTTTAAGTCAATCCTAGTGGTTGTGGCTTAATCCTAGCCTTCATACAAGATATTGTGTCTCTTCAGACAGCAAAATGCCAGACTTAATTGAAACATCTTATGACAGGCTATAAATCCTTTTTATGTACTTGTCTTCAGCTTTCATACTGCAACGTCCTTTTTCAGTAATGCACACTGGAACCTGAACATTTGGTATCAAAGGTGGTTTTGATTTTATTTTGTGCTCTGAAAAAAAAAGGAGGCAATTATTTTCATGACCAAGATTTATTATGCAAATCATCACTAGAGCCAATTCTAGTGTTCTAAGGTTATTAGAAGGTCCTAGCAGAAATGCCGCTCTCTGGGTGGCTCTTTGTGCTAGTAATTACTAATCATAGTATTTATACCTCATTGAAAAAATTTTTAAAAAGTGAACATTTTCTAAAAAAGGATTTTTTTCTGGGAAGTACTGCACAGGAAAAGTGCTCGGATTGTGCTCTTTAGTCATATGCAACTCATTGCATCAAAATGATTCAATGTACAGAGCTTAAACTTTTCATAAATTTTACTAATATAAACTGTAATATTTTTATATATTAAAAGTGGTAATGTTTATTGAAAAAATAAGTTTCTCGGTTCTATGCATAAAAATTACATTAAAAAAAGATATAATCAAACCTTAACATACAGTCCTAGTGAAAGTCATGTTCTTGTTGTGAGGAAATTACTTTTATTTAAAATTGTGTTTTATCATAAAGAAATGTTTGTTGCACATATCACACTTATTTTTCTAAGTGTCTGAATCTTGAATACCTAAAGTGTGAAATTTTGTATTAATTTATGTTTGTGGTGCCATTCAATAGATGGCACAGGAGTTTTGGTTACATACATAGATACTTACATACTCACTACAGCTATGTCCATTATAGTAAGATTAGCCTTTTTGTCTTGATGCCAAAGAGTGTGTGGTTTCACTTGTTGTAGCCAGTTGCTTTTGTTGAAAGATATAACTCAGATCAGTTCTTGTTTGCTGTTTTTATCTTATACTCTGTATGGGAATCACTGCTCTCTTCGGAACTATTTTAAAAAGTTTGTGTAATGACTTATCCAACATTTGCTATTTCAACTATCCTGTTTTTATAATTCAGAACTTGAAATGAAACTGGTTTTGGTTTATGATCTGTATTTTTGCCACTTTTCTAAGCAATCATTTGTATGTGATTACATAAACTATATTTGTTACAGGTTTCCAGTCACTTGTATATTATTACATGATTGTAACATAAAAAATAATATTCTGTATCAAAGCTCTTTGAATGACCAGCTTATATAAACCATTTCTTATGTATATACACACACACACACAAAAAGATGTGTCCAGTTTTTCAATAGGATTTACACACCTAGTTTTATGCCACAGTTTCAATCACCATTAGATAAAATCAAATATGAGTGAGATTAAACTAGAAAACTACACAGACTCTCATTCTTATTTCCCTAGTAATTGTGTTAATTTTGGCAATAAAAATTATTTTACTTTAGTTTGTAGGACAGATTTAAATTTGTTCTATTGCCTTCAACATTTTAGTCATTTGCCACTTGAAACCTGAATCTATTGCTCAACTGTAAACTTAATCATGTTATATTTTTATGTACATTTAGTAAGATAAGTTAAATTCAATTTTGTGTCCACTATCCATTTATCATATCCTAATTTACAGAATAGTACACATCTGAAGTAATAGTAACAAAAGTCAGTTCTTTTGAGGTGTAAAGTATTTTTTTAACCCAGCTAAATACAGCTGAATATTAAGATGATGAACCATTTATCATTAATGTTAAAGGTGGGCACTGATTTCACAGGTGTTGAGGGACGCATACATATAATCAGTTTAAACTAGTGTCATGAGGATAATTGAAGGATTTCCCAGTGTTCAGTATAGTATTACGTTTTATGAATCAAAAATGACCGTCAAACAATCTTCCTCTTCTACTTAGGGTAGATGTGTATTCATTAATAGCCTTTGTGATAATATCTTAGATCTGTTGAAATTCTATATTGGATATTTCTTAAAAGTTTTTCTCAAAATGTCTTGTGTTTTCTATGTTAGGTTAATGTGAATGGAGAAAGCTGGACTATATGTCGACGTTACAAAAGGTTCAGGGAACTCCATCAATTTATGAAGCTGAAGTATGGTGACAAAGTTAGTATTCACTCCCATTCCCTCTCTCCTCTCATAAAAACAACCCAGGGATTTTGTTCAGTTTAATGTCATAATACCAGTTTTTTCATTTTCAAACTACCTTGAATTCAGATATCAAAAAAGAAAATTATAATAGTCACTTGCAGTAAATGATTAGAGCAACAAAAGATGTTTCTACTAATAGGACTAACTGATGTGAAACATGCCATCTAAAAATTACAACTAAATTGGGTTTAGAAGTTGATCATTTTTCCTCAATATGAATTTACAGCCAACTGCTATGTTATGTGTTCAAGTATATTTTATACATTTTCAGTGTTTACTAATACTAAATTAAGTACATTAAGTCTTTAGTGAACTGAATTAAGAATATCAACATCTGTAGTAAACTAATATTACAAGAACAAAATATATTTATTTTTGTTGTCCAAGAACTAAAACTGTATTTCTCAGAAGCCAGAGTCAGCATCTAACTAAATGTTATGATTTTCATTAAGAATTCTAACTTGTTTTGTTCTTCATTATAATTTCTAAATACATCACCGTAGTTCTAGTTGGCCTGATGTATTTTTTTATGTTACTTGATGGGTAAATTGTGTTGTATAGTCTACTTTTAAACTATGAAAACGAAGTTTCACATAATACAAAAAAATTGCATTGGAAGATATTGCAAGATTAATAGTTATGATTTTTAATAAGGAAATTGTGTAGTTTCATCAGTAAGGGGAAGTTTAGAACAAGGTATTTAAGAATGTTTTTATCAGCTGGGGTAACTGAAGTGCTTGTCTATACATAAAACAAAATGATTAAATTTATAGGGTCATTTCAAAGCAACATGATCCTTTGTATTTCTAATACAAACAATTACTTTTAGATGAAGATGCCATATTTTCCTCCTCGTCGAATGTTTGGAAGTAAATCGGAAAAAGTAGTAGAACAGAGAAAGGTTTATTTACAGGTAATTTTCAACATTATTTGTAAACTAACAGTTGGTACAGTCCTGTCCTCATATCAAAATTAAAAAATTCTACATGCAAAGATCAGGTTAAACTTGTTTTTTCATAATAGTTGAAGAATCTTATATTAAATAGCAAATTTTTATTAAAAGACAATCAAGCTAGTGCGATATTAACCCGTAAAATTCATACTTATGTCACTTTAAAGCTGTCCCTGATAGAAATAGTTCTTACTGAATAATTAAACAGAATTGAGGAAAACAAAAACAGTCATACATTTTACTTGTACTACCATGTTTTTGTCTAAAACTATTAATTAGTTTATCACATGTGAATGAAAATTACTAAGTGCTGTGTGGGGATCATCTTGTTCTGGTTTGTATAGTACTTCTTTTGAATCTTTTTTTTTTATTATTGCTCATAGGAATACTTGCAGAATCTAGTAGCTTCTTGTATGAAAGTTGAAGGCTGCCCTTTAAACCGACCTGTCAGTCAACAGTTATGCAAGCAACATCTGTGGGACTTTGCTTCTTTCTTTAAAAAAGGTGTTTTTGAAAGTAGTAAACATGGCACTGGTTGATATGGTGGAATGATTATCTTGTCACATAATAGACTGTATGGCTCAAACTGTTGAATTTACTTTATCAAGGTGGGCGTGATGAATTTGAGAAGTGGTTCTACTGATCTCTTTAATTTGCAAATGAAATAATCTATCTCTAGAAAATACTTTAAGAATTTTAAATATGCTCTCTATGTTTCATAAATTTGTGAAGATGGGGGGAGATAGCTAACATGAGCTGTATTTGTAACTATTGTACATCTGAACTTACATTTTGTAACAAACGTAAACATGACTCTTAAAGTTATGTCACTGATTGAATATTTCACACTAGGTTTGAAAAGTAGATAACTTGTAATACAAAAAAAAAAAGCTGACAACCCAAGCTTTTCAGAGATACAACTTCCTTCTAAGGTGAATATGGAAAGAGATCATTTCCATTTTGCCTTCCAAAGTTTTTTGAATTCTAATAAATGATATTCGTTTTTTATTACAAATAAAGTGGGCAGTACATTGGTAAAGTGATTAATTTTCTAGAAAAAATAAATATAATCTTTACATTGAAGTTATTATATCAAAGTGAACTGCCTTTAAGAGCTAAGAATGTTTGAGTTACACCGTCTTCAACAGTAATTTTTATTTATTATTTTTTTATGTTTTTATCAAATGTTTCAATTACCAGTATTGTTTTATCCATATTTATTAGTGAGATATTTTGTGTAAGAAAATTTGTTTGAAGGTTCACATTTTAGGTTTGGGCAACTATCATATAAGGAATCCATCTTTCAGGTTGGTGGATTATTAAAGTAAACTAGCCTTCAACAGCTGTACATTTTGATGTTTGCTTCAAGAAATATTAGCTAGGTAACAGATAGAAAAAATTGTAAGTTTCAATATCTGTAGGACTGACAGTTAAAATTATCTTTAAAAGTTATTACTGAGAGTGTGAGTTTTGTTGTTTCTTCTAATAAAATTTAATTTTATCAATGTACATTTTTCATATTCCTGAGTAAACATAAGATGTGGTGTGAAGTTAATCACCTCCAGATGTTATTGATGCCAATGGATGGTCACTAGGACAAGATGTTAGTTAAATTTTGTGCATAAGCAACAAGTCACCATAATTTTTAACCCTTTCATCATGGGCTGATGCAGTTTGCAGCAGCTCTACTGGTGAAGGACATTTATGCAAAAAACATACAATAACTCTGAGTATTCCTCACAGAACCTTGTAAAATTTTGGTAAAAAGTTAATGTATAGTAGTTACTTTCATTAAAACTGTTAAAATAGTACAAGTGCAATGTGGTTTTTATTTTTAATATAAAAATACATTTCATTTGTATAACCTCAAAAACCTCCTAAATGAATATTAAGTTTTTTAAAGTAAATGTTTATATTTTACTTTTCTCTACGCTATTATCATAAATGCTATAATTGATCAAGCAGCCAACAATACTACAATAAAGGTGGCAAATTCAAAATAACCTTTGTTAGATTATAGTGTAAAAGTTCTTTCTAATGCCTATACATATGTATATGTAACATCTACATGTAGGGTTTAAAAAAATTATTACTCACTTCAACTGCATTCATTCAGAGATCTTTGAAATGTTCAAGTCAAAAGATTATGTAAGCTTCTCAGAATTTAGATGTAGATATATACAACTACCACTGTATTATTGAAGATGCAAAGTGCCAAAGTAGAGAATTTTCATTGCTTGTTGGTGACACGACAATACCTTACAACATGAAACTACGAATCATAACATACATTATATTGTTAATTTAATTCATATAAACTGATAGTGAAGGTGTTTGATTAAATTTTGAATGTAACACGGTGACATTGCTGAAATCTTTCATTTTATGGATGAAATTAGCAAATTAAATATTTAAGCCAGTTATTATTTTTGTAAAACTTTGGGACAACATAATAAAGAAAAAAAAAACGTGGGTAAGTTCTGTTCCAAGTTTACTTAAGTGAAATTTACTCCCCTTGTTAAGATCTTAGTGGTCTTATTTCAATAAAATGACTTCTGAATACAGGAAGTTATTTCCAAAAGCAAACTTGACATATGCAACAAAAATCAGCATTGTGTGTGTGTGTGTGTTAAAGAATTCAAGATAAAAGTGTATAATGTGTGGATAATTTTAAAAATAAGACTACAGAAAGAAAAAATCTATATTTCAGTCCCACGTCCTGAATAAAGTTACAAATGGTGAGGACATTGTGTGCATGGTACAATGTGCAGGCTTGTGATGTGACAGCCATTAATTATTTTCTGCATATGACAAGGAAGATCTCACCAATGAGCTTGTACACTTCAAACTGACATTTGTAAGAGTACGAAGAAAGGAAGGTGAAGTGAAATGGCATCTACCAGAATGTTAGGGGTGAAAATAATATGCAGTAAGAATTCTACATTGTGTGTAAAGAGGCTGATAGCAACATTAATAACAGATCAGGACATGCCCCAGAAAAAGCTAGTGCCCCTAGTTGTCAGAGCAACACCAGTAAGAAACTACATATGAACATTCTACAGTTTTGTAGAAGCAAAAACCTGAAAGGAAGTTTTTATCCTTACCTTCTGAGTGACAAACAAGATGTTGATGGAAAGCTTAAACTCAGACATTTTTCAACAAGCTGCACTTCTGGTTATAAACTTGTATAACTTTAAGAAATCCTCAGTTAGTAAGAAATATAAAGAATTGTATTTTTTTTCCATAAAGCTTAAAGTCTTTAGTAATAGATAGCAATTAAGACCAAGAGCAGGTTTATTTGATACAGAACTTCATGGAAAGAGTAGAAACATCCAAATTTCATTATTACACACACGAGATATGCTTTAATGTTCTTGATTAAAGTAGTATGCTAGAAAACCAAATGTTCAGCGAGTTGTATTCTATTCAGTTAGTTAGGAAGTATATTGATAGGATTTCAGCATGAAAAATGTTATATTGGCACAGCACAGAAAGGGAAAAAAAGTGTCTTGGCTCTGGAGAATAGCATATTAAATCTTAAAAATATTTATCTTATTTTCAGAAAATAGGAAGTCTACAATTGGAAAATCATACATTAAGTGGTTTCTAACAAACTGCATCACTTGAAATGTACCATCTCCAAACATGGTCAACTTTGGTAGAATAAGGAAAATGTTATTTTTTGGCAATGCTCCTGTGAAACAGAAGTGCAACAATTGTTGAATTTTAATGTCCGTTAAATGTTCTGTCATTACTAATGATATGTCTTCACGCAAAACAAGCTGAGATGACAGTCTTAAACATTTTGGAAAGTTGAGTAGATGAACACTTGAGTTCAACTGCAACACAATCAAGTTGATCCATTTAATGACTGAAATAACTTTGGTGCAAAACTTTCATGAACTCCACTCATCTTATTAAAAATAGTTGGTGGGGCTCAAAAATGGCACAAGGTCACTACATTGGAAAACTAAGGGAAGGAGGAATGGGTTACCCAAACTTGTGTAGCCACTGGTACCCAGCTCATAAGCCCATCTATTGCTGCTTCATTGAAAAAACAGTGACCACAGTCTTTTCGACAATAAATTCATGCATTTTCAAGTTACTTCCAACAAAATTCAAGCATCATTGAATCTTTCACTTGTGATTCTGATCTCCATAGTACTTCTTACCACTTTCCAATGCTCTCACACAAGTTAAATAGTCTCTGGGAAACAAAAAAATTACAATATTATTGGTATCGAAACTGGTAACTATAATTTTCCAATATCTTTGGGAAAATAAAGTCTGTATAGAATCTTTTGTCACATGTACTAATTCTTCATGAATCATGCAGTTTTGTCTACAAAATTTCTAGTATTTTTAAGCATATTGGAAAACTTGAAATACCCTTTCAATTTTCATATATAAGTGTGTGTGTATCCCTGGTTCTGTGTTGAAAAACAAACAATAACAATGTAAAAGCAGAGAACAAAGGAATATTTAAATGGTTTTGTTTTGAATTTTGAGCAAACCTACACAAGGACTATCCGCACTAGCCATCCTTACTTTAGTAGCAATAGACTAGAGGGAAGGCTGCTGGTGAACATCAACACTTGGGCTATTCTTTTACCAACAAATAGTGGGACTGACCATAACATTATAATGCCCCCTCAGATGAAAGGTTGAGTATGTTTGGTGTGACATGGATTTGAACCCGTGACTTGCAGGCCTACCTAAATGGTAAAATATGTTTTAGTTTTTCTGTTTTTTAAATGATAAAAATGCTTAAAGTGTTTATGTTGAGAAATAAAGTGTACAACTGCTTGGTTTGCCCTATGAAACTTAAAATATACACTACCCTACCAGTAGCCACATCTGTAAACACTGAAAATGTATTACATGTGTGCAAAACTACCAGTAACAATACTGTTTCTACTGGCATGGCACTGTGGATAATAGGAATAACTTTAGGTAGTTTGAGTGTGTCATGTACTGAACTTGAAAGCCTTACTGAGCTCAACCTGGCAGGCCCATGATCTTTGAAATGGATTGTTCAGCAGAACATACACTCAGTTATAAGGTTCTTTCAGGTAGAAGATGCCCTCAAGATGTAAGTATTAACTCAGTGCATTTGACATTATATTCCATGGAAATCTATAGACAAACAGCTTGAATAATCCAGTAAGTGGTGTACAAATGATTGAAATTGGAACCATGATCTGTGGAAAAATTGTTTTTTGGAGTGATGAAGTCAGTTTGATGGCAGAGTTTAAATTTGGAGGTAACCACAAGAATAAGTTGAGTAAAAACATTAAGTGACAACTGTAAAGAGTGATGGAGGGTTTATGACGTGGACATGTTTTAGATTTGTCTATCTGTAATTAAGTGGCACATGAATATAAGTTTACACTGTGATGTTCTTAATGACAGGTCTCTTCCTGCACTCATGGAACTTCAAGGTGCAGGCCCTTACCTTTACAAACATGACATCAAAACTTTGTTCACTCCAGGCATTGTAAATCAATTTGCCTAACTTTCCTTGGCATTATGTTAGAAATGGCCAGTAATTCTATCTGATATGTTAAAAAATGAAAGAAAATATGGCTGCAATAATTCATTGTTCTAATACGTCATGTGAGGGACCAACAAAATATTATGTTGCTTCCTTTAAACTGTTAATAAACAAACTTAAAAAGAGAATATCTGCAAGAAATTGTGCTTTTCACATGGGAATGACAAATAAGATGTTGCTTTCTTTTCCAGATTGTCAGTCCAGGAAGCTGGAAAGTGAATTAATGATTACAGAGGTCTGGGAATATAAAAATTAATGATCTTTTATAAAGTAATCATTCAACATAATATGATTTAGGTGATATAGCATAAGCTTTCACTTTTATCATTTCTCAATGACTACTATTTTTAGAAGAGAAAATGTGAAATCAAACTTGTTCAATATGAAGGTTCGACAATAAATTGAACATTCATTTCTAAATGCTACTTAGCATAAAAGTCTATTTACAGTCTGATTTAGAGTCAACAAACAAAAACTATTATTTCCTGGTAACAACTATGTGTTTAGAGGATTTTAAAGATGCTTTAATTGAGAAAAATGAATAATTCAATTATGGGAAACATTGCAAAAACCTATTTTCAGGTCAATTCAAAAAACATGGAAAGTGCCAAAGCTAATTCCTTTATAACAAGTTTGTCACAGATAGTTTATAAATCAACACTTGTTCTAAAAGTTTCCTGCTACTATCCTATGCTGGAAAGATAAATGTGGATAATGACAATAATATTACCACTTTAGAATCATTTTTATATAATTTAATCTTAAGAATATCTTGTCAGTCAGTGACATGAGTAGTTGGGCAATGCAGTGAAATCAGTTTTTCTTGTTTCATTTACATCCAAATCCCCCTTTCATCTTTTCTCCAGAGCCTCAGGGCTTTACTTATAAAGAAAATATCCAGATTCAAATTAGCAACAGCACAATTTTTCAAAAGTGTGACAAGGAAGAAATTTTGATCACAGTACATTGGAAAGTAAGTTAAACAATATATTGAATAATTAAATTGAAAATTGAATAAAAGAAATTGTTAAAAAGTAGTCCGAATATGCAACATAAGAAATAATGAGCACTACTTAACCATGAGTAAAGCACATGTGGAAACACATTAAGGAATGTTGCTGATGAACTTACATCCACATATTACTAAGTAGTAGGTTAAGTAACATCATTTTATTAAAGAATGGGGGAGCAGTTAAGTGTAGTTCCAATATTAATGTATTGAAACAATACACGAAGTATCAATGTAATATGGAAA